TAGGCAAAGCCCGGCTTGCTAGCGCAGTTGGCGAACTCCTTGTGGTCCGGGTTTACGCCCGGGGGTAGGCAGAAAAGTCACATTCTTCCAGGTTCATTGTATCTATCATGGAATCAAGGCCGAAGGGTTGTGATATCCATAGTACCGAGCCAAAGGGTTAACAACTCATGGTTTATGGATACTTTGACACTTTTAAATCCAAATCATCACGGAGCCAAGTTTCAAACATAAAAACAGTGACAACTTCGGCCCCTCTTTTAGGACGGCATTATTTCTGCGGTTTGGACAGCATTTATTTTAAGCGGAATTTTTTTAGTGCAACACGACAAAGCTAAAACCTTCCTGAAGAAAAAGTATGGGCTGTATCAGGACCTATATCAAAATAAAAATAAATGAGTGCAGAATAAAATATAAAACCTTCCAGAAGAAAAAGTATGGGCTGTATCGGGACTTATAATATATCAAATTAAAGAAAAATTGGTGCAGAATAAAATATAAAACCTTCCTGAAGAAAAAGCATGGGCTGTATCGGTACTTATAATATATCAAATTAAAGATAAATGAGTGCAGAATAAATCTAAACTATTTAAATGTCAGTAAAATCACATAACATTCAAGGATGTTAGACACACATGAAAATTTTTGAAATAAAAAATTGTGTGCTAACCTTATTTTTTACTGGTTCAATAACACTGCTATCCAATTCTAAGAATACACATGCCTTCTCTGTTCAATTATTTATTAGCTAGTCTTTATTTGAAACAATTAATTTAAATACTTTGGATATTATAATCATTTTTGTATGCCATGTCAATTTTCACAACAACCAAAAATAAAAAAAAACAGCTGATCGAAACACTGATCTAATTTAAATATTTTGTGAAATTTTCATATCCTAAACTAAATTATCGCTAGTAGATTTGTCCCTTAGATATCAATCATAATATCAAGACTGTTGTCACCATCTGGCAGAGATTCAACAACGATAAAGCAGTATGAACAGCTCTAGGCCTTTACCCTTATTATTTAGTATAGAAAAATCACGTAAAAATTGTATCCCATCTAAATAATTTTTTAAAAATCACAAAATAATGCACCGACCACGATGAACATCGCAAATGAAAGTACATCCTGTTGTTAATCCTAATTGTTAAAAAACTTGTTCATAAAAGTTTGTTTTCCCTACAAACGGAACAAAATTAGAGTGTCTCCATCATGAGCCAGTAAACTGGCTTTACGTCTTTAAGGGATAGACTTAATCGCCAGTATACTGGCTAAACGTCCGTAAAGAGTTAGAAAATAACTAGGCAGTACAAATTTAGGATCCTATCAATATGTTTTTTTTGTTTTTTTGGGAAGACCCCCACTACGACCTTGTTATAAACTTTTAACATAAGGCATCATGCAGGTCATGTACATCCTTTCAACATGGAAGTCTGCAACAACCAGGCAACTGAACAAAGAAACAAATATACGCACAGCTTCAACAAAATCGGTGTCTGTCCTCATTGTCAGCTCATAGTCTGATGTCCTTCTAACGAGTATCCCAAACAATGAAGAGAATTAAACACAAGAATGTGTCTAGGGCAGAGCATCATAGGCCAGGGGCCGCAAGTACTACTTAAACCATTTCCAGGTACTGATTTGTAGGTTGACAGTTTTCTTCAAAATTAGTCTCACTCGGCTGGGGATTCCAATTGTTATACGGTGTGGTAGCCATAGACTCCCGAATCTGGGTGCTCAGGCCCCTTGTGCACTCTCCCCAACATTTTCCAGTCTAATAGGTTTGTTTAAAAAGGGGGGGGGGGAAGGGCGGCGGCGTAAGAGGCACCGTTTCAACCATGTATGTACATTCTCTTTACAGAATTATAAATTACAAAATTATAGGTGGGGGGAGGACAGCATAAACTATCTAAAGGTCAATGCCAACATCGGATTTCACATTCAATAGGAGCCTGTTATTCGGGGACCACGTGGGGGCAGTTGCAGTAAAATGCCAAAAGCACCTAAATGCACTGAAAATTCAGGTAATAATGGGTGGGAAATCAAAATTGCTGTCCACAATGTACCAGCACTTGATTATTTATGAGATGGATTAGGACTGGGGCTAGTACTGCTGGCGGTATCAGAGTCAGTTGGTGAATCGTGAGCGCATACAGAATGAAGCTATGCAGTTTATTCAAGGATGTACAAGAGATATCCCAGTAGTCTGTATGCGATACATCCTTGCACTGCAGGTAGACTCTAAGTGCTGCAAGCCAGATCATATCCCAGAGTAGCAGTCGCCAAAAAACGTTCTTCAAGAGTCCTTGGAAACTGCTAAAAGTCACAGGTTGATTAGAGGGGCGTCTTGGATGGCACAAGCAGAAAGACAAAAATTAGAGATAAGCTATGCTGGAAAACATTGGCAGAGAAGAGGAGTGAGTCAAAGTGTCAGAGCAAATGGCAGACTTCTGTAGGGTTTTCATCAAACTTTGCGGGGAGAGCAGAGATTAGCCAAAAGACACTGCAGAACCAGAAATTCAACAACTGACTCGTGAAATTCCCGTCCAGGCGTTGTGTTCTGATGAGAGCCAGCTATGCACAGATGTCAATGTGAATGACTCACAGGGCATGCTGAGAAAGGTGGAGACAGACATGATCCGTGCAGAGCAGCAAGCAGCGCTTCAGATGTCCCGGGTATGTGGCGTTCTTTGGATATATTCTCTGGGGCATCAAGGGGTGTTGGGAAATGAACAGACAGACAGACTGGCTGGTTTTGCACCAGTAGGTGATGAAATTTATGCAAGACAAGCTATATGCGGTCAAGGCCCTTCGGAGGCGAATGAACAAGGAAGAGGCATGCAGTGGTCATTATGGTCTGAAAGAAATGGTGCTGCTAGGAGTGACCAAGGGATCTCTTTGACACTCTACAGGAAAAGGAAAGGCAAGGTGAACATTTTATCAAACCGAAACTATCAGAATTAGAGCTCTTCACTGGTTGCTGAGGATGAAGCGCTTATGGAAATGTCCTAGGTGCTGTGATGTCAGTTCATAGCTCAACATTCAATCAGATAAAGAATTCCACTGCTCATGAATCAAGTTCTCTTGATAATAAACAATTGCTCATCATCAAATTTGATTTTTGCCACTAAGTGTCACAGAGAGGAACTGTTTGCAATACATTACTTGATAGGTACTACCGGCTATTGCCATTCACTCGAAGTAGAATGTCTTTAAAGTCATTAATTCATCCTTTCCTCAGGCGCCCTCTTGATTTCAGATCAGATTTCTACAGTGTAGCGCCTGTGTTGGTATCTGTGGCTGCATTCTGATGAGATGAACGGACCAGTTGATCTTCTGCTTCTCAATGAATATGGTGCAAGGTGTTCACACAGTGTGTCTGATGGTAACATATCTCACACAAATATATTGGTCTGTGTGTTAAAATCCTTTTAAACTTTTACATACAAAATTGGTAAAGTAAAATTATTTTCCACTTCCACGATGAACTGTAGTCAGGGTTTGCTTAGTTATGAGGAACATGCACCTACTTGTACTGTTCATTGTGACTGTATAGCCTCCAGCGTCCGTACATATGACAAACAGTCTGGCAAACAATTATGCAGTTCTGCTGACTGAAATCTGACTTTGTAATATAGAAATGAAACAAGGACAAGGATTTACCTATAATACTGATCAACTTCTATCTCAGAGAGGAGACATTTGATAAACACATCAATCATGTGCTTCACTTTCTAGATAAACACAGCTGACCGAGTTTACACAAGCATCAGATGGCTCTTCTACCCACAGACTGACAGTGTTTACCACAACACTGTGACATGAGGGAAGCTGCCTGATGCCAGACGTCACTCACTCATCTGTCACACTGACAACACAATGGTGGAGATGTAAACAACACGCAATCTGATTATGCAACAATCTGTTTGTCACATATTCATCATATATGTTTTTGCTATGTTAAATTATTTATGCACTTTGAATTAATCACTGAGCTTTACCTAAAAATATATTCCTGAATGATTTGTACAACATACTGTATGATCAATTGCAGACAATGTAAATACAGCTGAACCTAAAGATATGAGTGTGCCTAGCTACGAGATTTTAAAGATACGAGCTGAAGATCTAAACAACTTTTAATGGATTTGGTCACGTTAACATTGCTGAAGAAGAACTTAAACCAGTTGGCAAGGCACTTGATGATGATGAATCCTAGCACTGTCGGAAGTAACCTCGTTTTCCTGCTGTCAGCAAAAACAAAAACAAACCAGATCTACACATTTTACCCACCTACAAAATGAAAAACATCATTCTGAAATTAATATGGTGATTTTTGGAGGGCTGGAATGAAATAAAATTACAATAATTTTAAAAGAAAAAACAAACAATTATTCACTAAATGAGCTCAGTCATGGAAGAGAATAAATCTGTATGCTCAGGTTCTACTGTATCTGTTTGCATAACTATCATTCCATGTAATAAAAATTATTTAGACAGCATGTACATTTCTCATACACCTTTTTAATTCATAGAATCTTAACTTTCAATCAAATATGCACATAAATTCTGGAAGGTAGTCGAAGAAGAGGGAAGTAAAGAAGAATCTGGAGTGATAACATAAAGAAATGGAAAGGACTTCTTCTTTTGTCGCCTCACTGATACCAGGTTGTAGCCCAGTGTCCAGGTTTTCTGTATTTGTCTTGGGCTTCTCGGGTGGCTTGAGTGATGGATTTGTTCTTTTATTTGCAGGTTTCAGCCACACACAGGATGGACAGGACTGATTTATTATAACTTGTTCAACAAGTGGAAGACAGAGAAAGATGGCGAGTTTTGTAGGCTAGTGCTTCCATCGATACACCTCAAACAACACAAACAGGTCAAGGGTTGTGTTATGTTTAGTTTCAGATGTAGCAACATAAGTTAAAGTAGTATTCAGTAGCAGAACATCAATACAGGAACTAACAGCTGGCCCTTGTCCAGAATCTTGACAGTCACTAGGAATTAGATGGGAAGTAAGCTGACACAAGAGGGGGCTGCGGCTTTGGAACAATCATTTGCTGACTCAGTCTAAAACCACCATTATCTAAAAGATTCCCTATAGGCTTTAAGGTTGTCTGTGGCTGTGCTACTGAAGACCTGTGTGAGTCTAATGAGGATGATACTGCTGATACAGCAGACTGATTCTGCTGTGGGTGGCTTAAAGACGTCGCAGATGACAATGTCACTGAAGGTACAGTAGAAGACTTCATACTGCTGCTGTTATAGTTTAATATACCTCTCACAGGAATAGCCTCCTCTTTTTTCATCAGAAACTTGGGATCTAATGGCAGATTTCTGAAAGATATAAAACAATTAAAATAGTTGACTTATTTAACTAATTGTGGTATTCCCATCTAGCATTACAACCAAGGCACTGATTAACTTACCCCCACTCTGTCTACTAAAGTCATATTACACTCCATCTACAGACAATATTTCAATGTGAACAGTTCCTCAATGCTCACATGCCAGCATCTAAAATCAATTGTAGGCGATCCAAACTGGTTTAGCTTGTGTTTCCTAAAGGGGGCGCTACCACCCTCTATCCCTACCCATAGGCGGTAGAGGACTTGATCTATTTAGGGGGCGCTGTGATGCCCCACAGCCTCAGCCTTTTTTGTGTGGAGGGGGGGGGGGGGGGGGGCACCTTGGTAAATTTTGGGACGCTACGATGCTTCAGAGGTCGGTAGCAGCCTCGATCTTGGGGGGGGGGGGGGGGGGGGGGGGGGGCGTAGTATCCTTGATCTATTTGGGGGGCACTACGATGCTTCAGGGGACGGCAGCAGCCTCAATAAATTTCGGGGGCGCTGTGATTTTTTGGGGGGAGGGGGGATTGCAGCCTCAGGTACAGCTGGAAAGCATTGAATGGGAAAAAATAGACAGCAGTAGTTAGAAGGAAACAGACAGGCCATTTTGATAAACTGTTCGTACCTTTCTCAACGTAGTGCAGCAGATCGAAATGGCAGTGATCTCTCAATTTTTCAAATAAACAAAGAAATTATATTATATCCAGTCAGAGTCATCATTCTCCTTAAAGAATAAATTGTTCTTTAACTTCATTATTCCAATTCTTTGACACTGATTAGAAGGATCGCTTGAGCTGAAACTTCTACAACTGATTTTTTTAAAGCTGAAGTTCAACCCCACCAGGACATCATACAGAGTGATAAACATATGGTGACAAAGTGCCAACATTCGGTTGAGGATCACCGGGTGACAGGTCCTAGAAACCCTGTTCAACCCATAGTTTTGGTTATATTAGGGCCCCCGACAACAACCAGAGTGGGGTTTTAAAATAACAACATTTGCATCCCATATCAGAACAGTTGAATATAACTAGGTTAAAAAAAAAATTCTACAAGCAGCAATGACTCACGACTTGCATCTTTAAATAAGAAACCCTTTGTGCCAACGATGTAAACATATATCATCTTCAGCTACACTGACTGTTCAGTTGTTCAATAAGTAAAACAGATAGTAGCGTACCAGAGCCAAGTCTCTTTGTGATTTACATAACTGCAATTACTAAATAAACCATTAGCAAGTCTTCAACAACCTTTGTTCACCTAGACAGACAGTAATAGTCCTTTTTATAAATCTTAGTTGCTAACATTATTCAAAAATAAAAAGGGCAATTCAAAATGGACCCATCAGTAATTTACAAAACAATACTCCTTGACAGTGAGCAGAAGTACTTTGGGATGGCTGTACATCAAAGGACCCAGCTTGCATGAGATAGGGATTTCTTAAAAAAATTACATATTTGCCCTTGTGGTTTCTGAGGCCTTCTTGTGGGGAAAAAAATAATAGATCCACTGCTCACCAATAAGCTTGTCATAAGAGTGGACTAGCTGGAAGCTTCCTTTGAAGTTAGAGTGCATCTGCCTGAGAAGCAAGGAACCAACAGTCTGCATACAAATACATCAGAATGATAAAATTGATGTGCACATAACACTCAGGTTCTGGAACAAGACTACATTCAAGAGGTGGATGGACAAACAGAACTTTTGGCTAGAATGTACAAGGAGAACAAGAAATTACATATAATTTTGAACAAATTAAACTTCTTCTATAACGTTTTAAAGACACTTTTATTAAGCTAATGCACCATTCTTCTTGTTGCTAGGAAACTGTCAAAAGCACTAATACAATTCCACTTGCCCTGTAGCAGTTAGGTATGTAGCCAGAGATTGTATGCCCTGTAGCAGTTAGGTATGTAGCCAGAGATTGTATGCCCTGTAGCAGTTAGGTATGTAGCCAGAGATTGTATGCCCTGTAGCAGTTAGGTATGTAGCCAGAGATTGTATGCCCTGTAGCAGTTAGGTATGTAGCCAGAGATTGTATGCCCTGTAGCAGTTAGGTATGTAGCCAGAGATTGTATGCCCTGTAGCAGTTAGGTATGTAGCCAGAGATTGTATGCCCTGTAGCAGTTAGGTATGTAGCCAGAGATTGTATGCCCTGTAGCAGTTAGGTATGTAGCCAGAGATTGTATGCCCTGTAGCAGTTAGGTATGTAGCCAGAGATTGTATGCCCTGTAGCAGTTAGGTATGTAGCCAGAGATTGTATGCCCTGTAGCAGTTAGGTATGTAGCCAGAGATTGTATGCCCTGTAGCAGTTAGGTATGTAGCCAGAGATTGTATGCCCTGTAGCAGTTAGGTATGTGGCCAGAGATTGTATGTCCTGTAGCAGTTAGGTATGTGGCCAGAGATTGTATGTCCTGTAGCAGTTAGGTATGTGGCCAGAGATTGTATGTCCTGTAGCAGTTAGGTATATAGCCAGAGATTTTATGCCCTGTAGCAGTTAGGTATGTGGCCAGAGATTGTATGCCCTGTAGCAGTTAGGTATGTGGCCAGAGATTGTATGCCCTGTAGCAGTTAGGTATGTGGCCAGAGATATTATGGGGTTGCTGGCAGTATACATCTATAGTATTCAAGAAAAAAAGAAACCATAAAATACACATTGTCAACTGAACAGCAACCTATCTTATCTGTTACAACAGTTCAGATTCCCCAACCCAGTTTGTTACCCGCCCAATTCCTTTCTTCAGAGCATCAGCTACTTACCCATCTCTGCCTGCTCCTCCACTATTGTTGAAAGTGTTCTGAGATGTGGGAGATGTGCTGGTCTGACTCTGTATAACAGGTATAGCACTTTTCCTGAAGCCTACAGGATTTCCTGGATGCTGGCTACCAGCAGGAACATGTCCTGACTGCTGCTCTGTCTGATAAACCATAAACAATTCATTATTACCACAGATTACAACTAACATTTCTAAAAGCATAACTATGCCATCAGGTACACATCTTTCGTCCACTAAAACAGCTTGAAAAAAAAAAAAACATAATAAGACATCCAAAAATGTAATTTAAAGACTGTATACTACACTCCATGTGTAGCTGGTACCAACTATGTCAGCAGACCAAGGGACAATCATCACAGAGAAAATATTCATCATACTTAAGACCAAACAAAGCAAGGCAGCTGTGCAGCAACATCAAAATCACACTGACCATTTTCTGAAGCCACATAAGGTGGTGAATCATCACCCTAAAGGAGTCAAAGAAAATGGTCAACATTGCTGTGCACATGCCTTGCTATCTTTTGGCCTTGGCAATAATGAATGACTCCATTGTAACAAAGGGGCCTCAGTTTCAGGGTTGCAACTCTAAACCAATGACTCATCATCAGTGATCACAGCTAAACCTGTGCTACTTTCAGAGTTGCTTCTGGTGTACTATTAACCCTCTTAGCACGGACGGTAACTCCGCTAAGACCGGTCCCAAGCCCGGCTGTAAAAGGAGGAGGGTCTGGCTGAACCTGAGTGCTTCATGCGTCTCCGGAAGTAGTGGGTAACCGTGAATCAGCCAGACGGCCTGCATGGAGGCCGCAAGGAGGCAGCCCCTCCACCATGCAAAGGCACAACAGGCCAATCACCTGTTTGCCTTAAACCACGATTACAAGTAACTACAGAGAGAAAACCGGACGGATCTTAACGGCGACGAACTGGCATGGCTTACGGACTACGATTTATGGAACATGGAATATAAGAGGCATTAACGGAAAGGAAAACGAGTTAGTAGGAGAGATGAGGAAAGCAAAATTAGGAGTCTTGGCTCTGACTGAAACCAAGAAAAAGGGGCAAGGAATCAAAGATCACGATGGAAGTATGCTGCTCTACAGTGGTGTCCCTATGACGGAGAGAGCCAAGGGAGGTGTTGGCTGTATTGTGGCCAGGAATCAAGTTAGTAACATCAAGGGATGGAAATTCATCTCAGAGCGAATAATGGTGTTAGATCTGAAAGAAGAAGATAAAATTGTCAATTTTGTCATTGTGTACGGGCCAAATGAAGATGAGCGAGTAGATGTTAAAGAAGAATTCTTTGAACTGCTCCAAAAGACCATAGATGACTGTCACGATGAAATTATCCTCCTAGGAGATCTAAATGCCAGAGTAGGAAATGATCACTCTAGATGGGGTGGAGTGATCGGGAGATATGGTGAAGATGTTTTGAATGATAATGGCAAGCGACTTCTTAGATTCTGCAGGGAACAGAACCTTGTCATTACAAACACAAAATTCCCCCACAAGCGTATACATGCATACACAAGATGTGAACCTTCAAAAAATGAAAAATCCATCATTGACTACGCCATAGTTAGGAAAAGTTCATTCGTTTGTGAGAGATGCCAGAGTCATGAGAGGACCAGAGATTGGAAGTGACCACTATCTGGTCACAATAAAGAGAACAACTGAAAGAACTGCTCCAACAAGGCAACACCGACAACTATGCAAGAAACCAAGCAACCAAGAAGGGATGAGGATTAAAGCATACAAGCTAAGAGAGCCAGATATTAAGGCTAGATACCAGGAGCTTATAGTGAAAGCAATAGGAACTGAAGAAGAATCATCAGAGGACACTGAAACTCTCTGGTGCAGATTCAAGAATATCCTCACAGCAGCTGCTGTAGAAGCATGTGGTGAAGTCCCAAGTGGAAGGCGGGGACACAGGACACCTTGGTGGACAGAAGAAGTCAAATTGAAAATAGGAGAAAAGAAAAGGGCATGGAAGCAATACCTGGCAGCCAGGAACACAGCTGAAGAAATAGAAAAATATAAACAATATGTGGCACTCAGAACAGAGACCAAAAATATTGTGCTTAAATCAAAACAGAAATCATGGGAAGAGTTTGGAGAAAAGTTGGAAAAGAATGCAAGAGAAAACCAAAAACTGTTCTACAAGACCCTTAAGAACATGAGGAAGGAGAAAGAGTGCCCACTTAAATTCATAAAAGACAAGGAAGGGGCTCTGCTTACTTCTACAAATGATATCATGGGCAGATGGAAAGAATACTTCTCAGAGCTCCTCGGCGCTGAGGGAAGTCATGACCCAGAAATAAGGGACCTCACTGCTGAGAAGGAATTCAATCATGGGGAAGATAACATCAGGATGGAAGAATTGAAGGCAGCTATTGAGAAGATTAAGCTGGGAAAAGCAGCAGGTCATGATGGTATAACACCAGAGATGGTCAAATATATGGGAGTCGAAGGTGAGAGCCTTCTACTGAAGGTTCTCCAGGCAGCCTGGTGTAGCAAAACTATACCAAAAGATTGGGAGATTGCCGTCATTATACCTATATTAAAAAAAGGTGATAACAGACAATGTGAAAACCACAGAGGCATATCCCTCCTCAGCATTCCCGGTAAAAGTTACTCTAGAATTCTTGAGCAGAGACTTAAAAGTCTGGTAGAGCCACAGCTGGACGAGGCCCAGTGCGGCTTCAGAGCAAACCGAAGTACTCAAGACCTTATCTTCACACTGAGACAGATGAGTGAAAAAGCCCTGGAATATAAGAGTGAGATTCACTTATGTTTTTTGGATCTGGAAAAGGCATTTGACAAGGTACCCTGGAACAAGCTCTGGGACTGCTTGGCAGGGAAAAACATCCCAGCACCCCTGATCAGTGCAATACAGAGTTTCTACAAAAAAGTGCAGAAATTATGTAAGAACAGCAGACCAAAAGTCAGAAGAATTTAAGACCACCAGCGGTGTTAGACAAGGTGATATTCTCTCACCTTACCTCTTCATTCTTATGATGGATGATGTCATCAAGACCTGTAAGGAGAAGACAAAGAAGTACTCTGTAGGGTACTGGAAGATGAGACCAATCTGTATATCAGAGCTGGCTTTTGCAGACGATGTGGCCCTGATAGCCAAATCAGAGGCACACCTTCAGTCCAACTTACTTGTCTGGAAGGAAGAGCTTGAAAAGAAAGGGATGATCATCAGTATCTCCAAAACTAAAACCATGGTGATCTCAAGAGAGGAGAAGAAACACCAGATCATGATGGGTCAGTATGCGTTGGAGCAGGTTAACCAGTTCAAATACCTTGGAGTTGTATTAGACCAAAATGGAGGCATTAAGACTGAGCTGGCTACACGAAAAGCAGCTGCTGGGAGACTCTTCCAGGCCATAAACCGAGGGTTTCTTAGCAAAAGAGAAATTGGCAAGAGGACGAAAATGGCTGTTTACCGCTCTACCTATGTACCAGTCCTGACCTATGGGTGTGAGTCATGGGCAATGACAACAGCTCACAGAAGCCAGCTGCAGGCCTCGGAAATGAGATACCTGAGAAAGGTGGTCCAAGTGACAAGAAGGGACAAAGTCCGCAATCAGACAATACGTCAAGATCTTGATACCCAGCCCTTACTAACCCGAGTGGATCAGTCACAGTTACGATGGTTTGGACATGTGTGCAGAATGGGAGAAAATCGGCCACCATGGCAAGCATGGGAGGCTAAGAACCAGGGAACCAGACCTCCGGGACGACCCAGGGTGCGCTGGGAAGACAACATCCGACAGTCCCTGACTGACAGAGGACTGGAATGGAACAAAGCCAGAAAGAAAACTGCTGATAGAGACGTCTGGCGATCTCTCTGGCAAACCTCTACACCCCAAGGTAGAAGAGGAGCGACTAAGTAAGTAAGTAAGCACGGACGGTCCGATTATCGGCCGGCGGATGTCTGGCCAAAAACACGGAACGGCCGATCATCGGCCCGATCGTGTTTCACCTTGAACCGCTAAGAAATCTCCTACTTTGAAACACTGAAAGTGATTCATTCATATTCACTGCGGTATCAGCTTTACACATGGCGACTTTCGAGTGTTTGGTATCGAAGTGAAAATTGTTGTTGAATTTTTTAGATAGTGACCTGAACCGCTAAAAGTATGTCTTGACTCGTATGTTTCTGCCCCTAAACTTGAAGTTGATAAAACATTTGAATCAAGTGATTACACTAATTCTGTTGATACTGATGCAGAATTTACTGTTAGTAGTAATAGTGGGAATCAGATGGGGACGCTGTTGTGTTCAGACCACAGCCCAACCATGGCTCAGGGTATGTGCACCTGAAGGTGTTGACACTCCGGCACATCCATTTCTTGTGCTGATTGATGGTGAAAAACACATGTCACCTAAAGATATTATTGCTGTTTCATATATATATACCTGTTTGTGACTATTGAATTGCTTACAACATTTGCAAAAAGGCCAAAGATCAATAAAAAGATTTCAAATTAAAAAAAAATTTGTTTTTAGTTTTATGTTTCAAGCATTGAAGTTGAAAATTCAAATTCAAATTTTCTATTTTTAGATATGAAAATGAGATAATTTGCATATACATCAATTAATTTTAACGATATTGTGAAAATCATGAACTTCAATCTATATCCTTCAAACAGATATGTTATTTCATGGGGGTCAGAATAACAGAAATCTGTCAAAAAAATTAAATAAAATAATAACCAAATTCACTGAAAAAAATGCTCCGTGTTTTTGGCTAGACCTCTGAAAAACTTCCCGTGCTAAAAGGGTTAATAGAATTAGGCATATATTTATGGATACTCTTCACATGACCAAATCCACCATCAAAATGGACTCTACTGAATCAATCCTTATCTCCAGCTCACTTGCAAGTTCTCAGAAGATAAAAAGCGGTTCTCTTACAATCAAAATCCACACTTCATCTTGCTTAGAATCATAGGAACATGGCCTTCACTTCACCAATGTTCTTCTTCTTCGCGTTCGGTTTCGTAAGCTCAGATCAGACCATCAGGTAGGTTGCCTCTATGAACTCGCATGTCAGCTGCAGGTCCTTCATGGTTTCCCATAGCTTGCTCTGTACACTTTGTGAGATCATCTTTAAAGCAACTGTACTATTTCTTTGTTTGTCAAATGCTCCTGGCATCATCACTGCTGAATTTTTGCAACGGTTACCACCTGAGTGGCCAACATTACGCTATCAGTGCCAAACATGGACACTTACATCCTCTAATGAACGTAAAATTGTGAGAATAGTGATTAAATGCATTAGAAGAGCTAAAGGAGTTTCAAGGAAAGACAGAATACAAGATCCCGAAATTAAATGAATGCTAGGAATAAAGCTAGTCTTACAGGTCATCAAAGAACAACATATGAAGTGGTTTGGACACCTAACAAGAATGCCCTGGTACTATCTGCCACAGCGAGCCACACTAAAAGATTACAACGGGTATCAAGTGAGTGGAAGACCTCATAAAATATGGAGTGATGGCATTAAGAACAGCCTTACAGAAATGAACATCAGTCTTAATAGTGCTTTTGACAGAGCTCATCAACGAATGTTACATCTCCCCCAGACACTTCGATGAGGTACAAGGTGGAAGAGAATAAGAAGAAGACCACCTGAAGAAACCAAGCTTCTGAAATCTGATATAACAATAAAGACATGAAGAGTGACTAAAATAATTACTAACACCTCTATTTGATGCAAGTATATACTTATGTACTTGGTAAGCATCGTTACTTCTTCCAGGAATATTGTATTTCTATTCTTCTTTTTTTTATGTCCTCTTTTACTGCTTCGAGGGAGATATAAGGTCCTGCTTCGTGCTTTTCTGGCTGCTTCGACCGAAGACATATTGTGGTTCTGTAGAGTTTCTCGGATGTTATCCTTCCATCTTGTTCTTGGTTTACCTTTTGCTCTATGTCTCTCTCCTCTTTTGGTATATGCCTTGAATGGTATAGAATCAGAAGGCATTCTCTCCAAGTGGGCAAACTATTTGATTCGTTGTCTTTCTAAGTAATTTAGAATTGGTTCTGTGCCAACTTCATCTCGTATTACCTCATTCTTGATTTTCTCTCTTCTAGTCACCCCTAAAGCCTTTGCCAGACACCTCATTTCCATGGTTATCATGCTCTTTTATGTTTTGTTGTGAGTGACCCCGTCTGGCACTGATAGCATAAAATGGGAATGAATATGCTTTGTACAAGATGTTTCTTTGTGTTGACTGGGATCGCCTTATGCTGTAAGAGGGGGGCTAGCTGTCCCAATACTTGGCCAGCTTTACTGCATCAGATGTCAATTTCTTCGTCCAATTTACCATTTTCAGTGAATGTTGATCCAAGATATTTAAATTCAGATGGCTGTTTCTTCTTCTTCTTCTTCTTGTTCACCGGCTGTGAATTCCGGCGGTAAGTCGCGGTTGTTCGTCCAAATGGACTTTTGGCTTTTACCTTGACCTGAGTTTTGCGTGTACATCCGTTTTACTGTCTTATTTGTTTGCAGTCCTCGTTCCCTGCCCCACCGGCAGATGTACTCCGACTTCAAGGGAAGACGTCAAGCCTATTTCTAGGTTGACTGTGGCCATTGTTTTGTGTGGGTCGAGATGTTGCCGTATTTGTGTGGTGTCCTCTTTGACCTTTAACAGGTGTGGCCCCCGGAGTATCATCCTTAAGGCAGCCCTAGGTAGAATTTTCAGCCCTCAAGGGAAGGCAGGGGCAGATCATGGGCATTCCCCGCCATCCAAGGAGGCTTCCATAAATGCAGAGCCGACACATGATGCTCTGGTTCTGGGCTCACCCAAGGAATCGTCATGTCTTGCCCATGACTGCTTAACCTCACAACCGTGTATTGAGCTTCCCGCGCTACAAGGCTGCGCTCTCCGGAGATCAGCGGGGAGCAGCCCGCAGGTCAAGGACTTTTGTGGCTACACAAATAGGTACATTCTTTTTCATCGTACGTTAGACACCTTTAACGTTGTTTCAGCTGTGCCCTTAGCACGACAGAATGGGGAAGCAAAATGCGTCGAACCTGGCTTCACCTGTTTGGTCCCAACACTCAGGCGAGTGGGACCAGTGGATACGGACGTTTGGCTTTTTCCTACTCGGTACGATCGTCGGACTTTTGAGCTTGCATGTGTGCCGTGGGGTATAACTTTGTCGGACATTATTTCCTAGCCAGCTTATGAAGAGTGTGTACCTCAGCGCGGGAGCTTGCATGTGTGCCGTGGGGTATAACTTTGTCGGACATTATTTCCTAGCCAGCTTATGAAGAGTGTGTACCTCAGCGCGGTGACGACGACACTGAGGATTGACAGAGGATGTACGTAGGTAGGATCTTACTGCGAGAAATCGCCCACAAGAGATGTTACTCATCTTGGCTGCGGGTAAATCTCTCAGGGTTGAGTCTCAGCAGCACAGTTTTCCATTCGCTCCAGAATTTTAACCGAGAGTTGTCATTTGATGGTACATTTAGCAAGCAATCCTTACTCATGTTCCGTTAGACTTTTCACCCATGCGTTTGGGAGCGGGCTGGTGAGAGCCAGGTGGGGCACTACACCTCTAGGGGCCGCCAGCTCCGAGATCCCCTGCCAACTCTGTTAATGCTCATTTGAGACATTATCTGTGGCGCACGATGGGGACGTGCAGCAGGAGTCTTGCATGAGGTTCCGTAAAACCAGAACAGTGAAGGACTGGCGCCCGAGTGGGGTACGGAATATCTCCTAATACACATCACATCAGACTTAACTTCCCCTCATGCCTGTGACCGAAATCACCACGCCACAGATGGCTGTTTAATATATGTATGCTCTATTGACATTACTTATGTCTTTTCTATGATTCTCATGTTATTGGATTTACATTCTTCATTCATGGATGTGAGATACTGTTACAAATTCATGGCTGTATCTGCAATCATGGCCTGGTCATCAGCAATGAGGTCATGTTACTATTATTTTCGTTCCTTTCCTGGCACCCTTGCTTATACCGTCAATGTAGGTGATAAACAGCAGTGGTGATAAGACACATCCCTGTCTTACTCCAGATGTTAATTTGAATATTTTAGATGTTCCCTGATTTTTTCTAACTACGCTTCTACAGTCGCTATATAAGCTTTTGCAAACTTTAATGAGGTGTTCACTTACTCCATATCGACCGATTAAAATCTATAGTTGTTGTCTATCGACACTGTCGATCTACACATTCTTGATCTACATATGCTACAAATAAGTTCTGATCATTTTCGATGTTGTATTCCATTACTGATCTATTTAAATTACTGCAACATTTAATATGGCAGTGATGTTTTCAGTTTTCTTTGATGTTCAGATCTTGGAGAAATCAGTAACTTTCTTCTTGTTTGATCTGATGTATTATAAAAAAAATTTATAAAATATATAAGAACCAATTACCTGCTGCAACTGAGCACCCAAAGTTGTTGATGTCACTCGAGGCAGTGTCTGAGGTCTCAAACTTTCCTGTGGCCCAAGAGATCCATGACTAGAAGTGCTGTAGTTGTGCTATATATGAAACAAACTGTGTATGTATACAAATGTAAAATGTCACCTATATTCATATATCTATGTTACCCGTGTGGGTTCCAGGGCCATTTTATAGGGAAAACAAGAATAGACCCACTGCCTACCCAAAAGCATGTCGTAAGAGTCGACTAACTGGGAGCTTCCTTTGAAGTTGGAGTACATCTGCCTGAAAGGCAAGGAGCCAGCAGTCTGCATACCAATGAGTCAGATCTGTAAAATGGATGCACACACAACACTCAGGTTCTGGAACAGGGCTGCAGTCCAGAAGTGGACGAACAACCAGAACTTTCGGCCAGAGTTTACAGCTGGTGAATGCGAAGAAGAAAAAGAAGATATATCTATGTCAAAATTAGAATTTTGAGAGCATGCATCTTCCCTGTAGCTTCATACGGATGTGAGTTGTGGACTATCTCTCAGTCCTTAAGAAAGAGAATAGGGGCTTTTGAGCTGAAATGCTATAGAAAGATTCTCAGAATATCTTGGACAAAAAAGAGGAGAAATATTGACATCTTAAAAGATCTGAACATCAAGGAAGATTGGCTAATAAACAGCATCCTTTTTTGGAAGCTGAAATATTTTGGTCATATCAAGCGCCACAACGGATTGGAAAAAACTATAGCAGAAGGCATGGTACCAGGAAGGAGGGGCAGGGGCCGACCGACACGAAGATGGGCACAGGATATAAGTGAATCCTTGAGTATGAAAGTATATGAGGCGGGAGAACTGGCGAGAGACCGAGTTTCTTTCAGGCAGACTGTGATGAGAGCGACCTTCTGCAAAGGACCTGCTACATGATGATGATGATCTATGTCACAGGTGCATAAGGACATCTATCTCAGCATAAGTTGACATTGATGTATGTGATATGAGCACCTACACGATGAAACTCTGATCTATAACAGAGATGGAAAATTATTATCTGCTATCGGCCATTTTGATATTTATAATATTATCTGTGAGCTTTACAAAATTATCAACTTAAAAATGACCCTCCTACATTTGATCAAATGTTTAACTAATCTTGCCCTGGCAGGGCCTGACACAATTATTCTGCAGGCTTTATATAACCAATAGGCACTGAATCTTTCTAATTCTTTTTCTATGAGAACTTGATACAGTAACTAAATGATACTTACAACAGCAGCAGGCCTCGGCTGCAGGGATGATGATGATGGAAGCTCAAAGTTTCCCAGATGACTCTGACTGATTTTCTGCTCATTAATCTGTCTGTGCAGCCACTCCATCACTGTAGTGTAGATAATGAAATAACGGTAGCAAGTTAAACAGCTGTACCCGATCAGTGTATTTAGTGTTTTTTTTTAAAAAGTACATGAACACTCTGTAAGTTTTGTCTTCTTCTTTGCATTCCCTGGCTGCAGACTCCACCAAAAAGTTCTGGTTGTCTCTAGTCCTGTTGTGTGCACATTCATTTTACTGATCTGACTTATCTGTATGCAGATTGCTGGTTCCATGTCTCTTAGATAGAGGCACTCCAGATTCGAAAGAAGCCCCCAATTAGTCATCCGTTATGACATTCTCGTCTTGAGGAGGAAGTAGGTCTATTTCTGTTTTCCACACAATAGCACCCCAGAACCAAAACGAGGAGTACATTTTTCTATTTCTGCCATTAGGTATGTAGTCCACACATAACCATTGATCGTAGCTCATCATCATCATGTATCATACAGATACGCATTTACACTTATTGTTCACTTTTTCACACAACCATCAGTTGTTCATACTCAGGTTTTGTAGCCTGGCTAATATAAATCTGTGACTGCTGCGCTGGCAGGCAAGCTTGCTAGGGCTATCATGACTAACAGTGAATGCAGCAATACAGTAATTATGCCTAATGTTTGACCGTGACTTCAGTCTCACAGAGCATGGAAATCAAGTAATGATAAAGGCTAGCAAAAAATATCTCTACCATAATGACTCAGCAGGCTAAACGCAAACTAGGGTATTTCTGTCTGTCAATATGCATAATCAATCCTAATACTCAATCATACAAGTGCCATCTCTATAATGAAGGGCTCTCTGCAATAAATCTCCAGCACTCTCTGTCTCTCCTCCTCAATGCACACTAATTTGTTCATTTCTAGATGTTTTCCACTCATTTTTATTACTTTCTACCTATTGCTCACTTGCCCTCAACTATTACCTCCAGTATGGTTTTTATAAGGGTGTTATGTCTTTTAAGTGTAGCCAAAACATATCATTTGTCTTTGTTAAATTATATAACTTTCTATAGGACCTCTGTCTCTTCAGCAATATTTAGTAAAACACAAATAGAAAGGTTTAACAGGACCTAAATGAAGCATTACTCTTAGATGACACCCCTCGGTAAAGCAATGGTATTTCCGACTGACCTTTTTTTTCGGCAGGCAGGACTGATTTATGATGATATGTGTCTATCTTATAGGAAATGCATATTTGGCTTATCCTCTCCTCAAGCAACTAGAAAGAGTGAGAGGCCACAGGTTCCAATATAATACACACCTTTTTTTAAGTTGACCCACTACAAATATCACTTTCTAAAAGCACCTACCATGTATTATAGAATTATATTACAGCTGATCTACTACAACTGTCATTGACTATTGGGGTAATACAACAAACATGTATTTCCCATATGTTTCACAAACTGTCTAGCTAAATATGCACTTACTGTTTTCATTTTTTATTAGTAAGTTCTTGCTATCTTCCAGTGCCTTGGTGGCTGTTTCCAGATTTGTACTCAACCGGTGATTCTAATATATAAATAACAAACATGAAAGAGCTAGTTAAATTTGTAATTTTGTTCTTCATAGATCATACATTACATATATTTTAAGTATATGATGAATGAAATCAAAGACAGTTAGTCCCAGGTGACCAACAAGTCAACTATGGTCTACTTGTTGACTGGAAAATCTATGAGTTATAGACTGCAATACTGGCCTTTATTTTGTCACGTTAGGTCCTTACCTTATTTAATATTCTATCTTTTTCTTTTTAAAAGTAGATTGTGATTTCTGAAATGAAAGGCAGCCCTCCAATATAAACAGGTTAGCCACTGCTGTAAGAAACTTGTTTAACTTGACTAATGTGAATACCACTGTAGTAAGAAAGATACTGCCTAAGGACTTATCAGCACAACTGTTGCCCTTGTGATGGAAACACCTAACCTCATGTCGTCTCTCCTAGAATCTCTACTGGTTGTAAAGAGTTGTGTCTCCTTGATGCTCATCCCATAAGGGGAAAACAATACATGAGGACAGCGGCGCTTACTAGGCAACCACGTCAAGCATGACAATGGAAATAGCCGCTGCTTCTAGAGCTTTAGCATGGGTATCTGAGCAAACCGCCACACAGGTAGTAATTGTCTCAGACTCAATGAATATGCTACAGAAGATAGCAACAGGCAGTATGCGCTCTGAATGGATAGAAAGCATTCGGAAATCGCAATTAACCTCTGGAACCTAGATCTACACACCGAGTCATGCGGGCGTGAAGGGAAATGAGCGAGCAGACCAACTGGCAAGCACTGCACTAATGATTGCGGGAAAAAGTATGGACAGAGCAAATATAGTCAACGCTGTACGAACTGGGCTAGTGGAGAATGAGGAATCCCTGACACTAACACGATTGCATGACATGGCAGTTAAGCATGGTGATGCACATCTTTGCCGTCTTCGGGGCCGAGAAAGGAGACGATATAACCAGCTTCTTATGGGGACAATTAGTAGAAGTACTTTGGAGTGGCTGCTGCTTCGGAGAACTGAGCACGCATGGGTATGCCCAATGTGCAGTGACATCAATTGTGATAACAAAACATAAAATAACGTCTTAGTAGGGAGTCGGCAGTCCAAAACCCAAGTTTAAGGTGTCTCCTTCGTGCCAAAGAACTGCATGGCTGTTGGGTGAACAGTCATTAACGATAGCAAGCAGGTCGTTGTAGGGGCAACGCCTGCTGGTGGATGTAATGTCCTAAGTCCCTTCCCCAGCTAATAATGAGGGTACTGCTGGGGTGACCGTTTATTAACCCTCATATAATGCTTCTGGTCAAAATGGACGCTGGGCACGGCCACCTTTGTTTTAATTAAGCCGTGGCTGCCAGACGGTGGCCGTTGCATTTTTGCTCATTTGTAGACTGGAAGGATGTAGTTTCGTCGCCCAGCTTCTGAGTTGTGTGCATGGCGGGACACTGTGAGCTGCGTTTGATTTTCGTTGGCACAGGAGCGGAGCAACTGTGGGGTGACCCGTTTGTTATGAAGCTGAAATTAGAATTACCAGATTACCAGAAAAGAATGTTTTTGTTTAGAATGACATCAGTGTTCCACTAGCATATGCTCTGTGTCCTAGATGATTGGTTAACATGGCTACATTGTCCACAATCTATGCAACTACAGTCTCACATTTGTGAAAATATGAGTCAAGTTATTATATAAAATATTACATTAAAGATTTAATTTGACAAAAATGTGTGTTTAAACAGGAATAAGAACTGAAGGAAGGTCAAAATTATGCTAAAAGGACATATACAAACATGACCTGAAAAATACAAACACTGCAAAGACACTTGGGAGAGACCAGCTGCAGACCAAACCCTAGGGAGGCAGACAGTGAAAGATGGATTGCTGTAGTTAGCAAGAGGCCTTACACAGCAGGCTATAGAGCAGCTCCCCTAGGAACTGACATCTGCCTATAAGAAAATGTGTGTGTGTGTGTGTATGCCTTTTGTGCATACATATGAGAGAGGCAAAAAATTATTATAAACAACAAAAAGACAGAACTCCCACAGCTGGGCATGAAGCAAACAATGAGGTGAAGTTCTTCCTTCTGATAGCTTGATGGCAAAGATATTTCTGGAAGCATCACAGTCAGTCTAACATTGAACATACATAGTGCAGACAATTGTATTGCTGTATGAACAATTTTTTTTTAAAGTCTAAAAGGGCTAAAAGGTCAGATAGATCTGCATGTTCAATTTGTGACCCTTTTAATATAAAGGTTATATATTCATTTTCTTTATACTGTGACTGATTAGGTAAGGGTTTTTGTATATATCTACAATAAAACAGTATTGGACCTTTGATAATCAACTGGCAATAATATATCTTGGCTACAAAGACAAGTCAATGATAACATTTCCACTGTAATGGAGATATCACTGGTGTAACCAGATACTACTTGCATCCTTTCACTCTAAACGTGCTTTAGTTTTTTAATACAAGAGGCTGACAGAGAAAGAATGTCTTTTTCTAAACTATTTTTGGTGAAACAAGGTGATAAACAGAATGTACAAGAAAACTGAATCGCCTGTACGTCCATTTATGTGCACACACACACATGTGCGAGCGTTTTCGTCTGTGTGAAGCTTAAACATGATATTTACCTGATCTTCGGTTTCTCGCAGCTTATCCTTTGTTGCTGTCAGTTCTTGACGAAGTTTCTCAAGTTCATTGATTTTTTCTCCCAGAGTTTTCTCCTGCTCTGTTGTTATCTGTCTACACATTTTTATCTACAAAACGAAAGATCATTTAAACATGTCAAAATATTTCAGTAAGCTTGTAAGGTTGCCATTAAAATGGGTACTTCATGTTTAAGTTAGTATAGAAATCATTTAGTTAAGTTAGTCAACAGATTATCCTCATAGCACATCGACCCATTCAGTCCATAATTGCTCAGATTCCCTCCTTAGTAAATCCTGCTGCAGGTAACATTTTGTGTTGGTTTCTTATTTGTCTTTGGCTCAATGCATAGTGCACTTGTCTGGTCACACCCCTTTTAACATGTTATTCTTGTAATCTGGTCATGATTGCAGCCTCAGTCATTATTTGGTTCTTGCAAATGTTCTACTTCTCGTAAAACCAGCACAGAAAGCCAGTTAAATATCCCTGGCTCAAGGCAACCTTGGATGTGTATTTCTGTTATGTAAGAACACTTTATTTAAAACTATCAATTTTGCTTGCTCAAACACTAATCTGAATAAGAGAAATTTCTGATAAGAATAACCATTTCTTGGTCCTCGGTAAGTTCTTATTGATTCTGGGCTGTAATTAATGTTGGGGTGAGACTGACGTAGGGAAAATGTAAACATCAAGTGGAAAACTTTAGCAGCAAAACAAATCCAATCAGCCACAAAGATGTCACACACAAATATATATATATATATATATATATATATATATATATATATATATATATATATATATATATATATATATATATATATATATATATATATATATATATATATATATATATTATATATATATATATATATATATATATATATTTTAAAAACAACTCAACTAGCCCATGGTAACAGGAAATGTTTCATGCAATGTGGGGAAAACTGAAACAAAGTCTGAATAGCCAAATTACCGGTGCTTTATTAATATCCTACCCAAAATGGCAAATCCACAGGTCACAGTACAGTAATATTTCAGATGGTGGTAGATAAGTTGCATGCAGTCATGGGACCTAGGCTGCACTCTTTTGTGCGAAGTAGGTGGGTTGGGGTTAGGGCCATAGATGTTTTAGGGTCGTTAAAAGCATCAGAAAGCCAGGAAACACAGTCTTACAAAACTCTATTATTTTGGACTGCCCTGTGACGTCATCTGGGCGTAGGATATTAATAAAGCACCAAATTACCCCCTTTTCCCTAGAAAATGTTCAAGAAATTACACCTGGGATATAAGAAATAAGGATGCATTTTTTTAAAGACTGCAAATAATAAAGGACACGAAAAATAAGATTAGTATTCTTTATTTCACACTACAAGGTGGAAGGGAAAGCAGACATGAAACTTTTCAAGCCAGGTCAAACAGTGATGCTCTCAGACAACACAAATGAACATCTCCCATCACTGTGAAGCAGTGGCCCTGTGACTTTAATATAAGACTAGGTACTTTCAATAGAAAGCTGTGAGTTCTAGAAACAATCGGAACCATACATACAAAGCAAACATGAATGTAATTCAGTGTTAAGCACCAAGAAATGATCAGGATGAATCAATTAATGGGGAATTAGAATTAAAAAAATTTACAGATAGACATGAATGCCAAGATAGATCTGATAACAAAAGCTGTGATAAAAGGATCATGGAGAAAAAGATTTTAAGTAATATATGAATACTTAAAGTTATTCACAACCTGTTCAAACAGAGAAACAATGCCATAAGTGGAAGTGTTTGTCCACAGAAAATGATATATTAAAAAAAGCATGTTTCACAATACAAAAAATTGTTAAACAAATACATTTTATATGCATTGACAAGAAATGTAGATTATCTCCACATGACATAAACATTTTCTCAGATACCCCTGTAGAATCAGAATGCCAACCACCGATAAACAAAGTTGAGTTTATTAAACTCATGATACACAAACGTTTTACAGACATGAAAAACAATACAATGTAGAAATCTTATGTTAATCTAATTATTGCAAATTTTAATGAAAAAATCCAAACACATGCATAATTTCTATGCAGATTAAAGATAGGAGTATTTCCACACATGCCACTTACCTTTGAACTGTCAGCTTTTACCCTTGCCTGAAATTTTTCAATAATATTATTGCCTTTCTTCAGTTCCTCTCCCATAGCTTTGAGTTTTGCTTCCAGCTTGCTAATTTCTTTATTTTTACTTTCTAAGTCAGCCTCTAAATGTTTCTGAAATGTTAAGGACCAACATACTAATTACATATTCATGTTTTCTCCAGCCTTGTGTACCATGCAACTCACTTCACTATACATTCATTATACCTGTTCATATCTCAGAGTAGCTGCAGACAAGAAGCACCTCCTGCATGAAGCCCTGGATATAGCTAAGGGTCACAGACTGAAAAGAGAAAGGTCTTGGATGGCGCAGGCTGAAGACACAATTGGACATGTGTGCAGGCTTGATAATTTTGAGCGAGGAGAGGAGTGGGTCAAGGTGTTTCAGACTTGTGTAGGGTTCTAATCACTTTAGGTCGTGAGTGCAGAGACTGGCCAGCTGGTGCAGCAGAATCAGAAGCTCAACAAATGATTCATGACAGTTCCCGCTCAAGTGATGTGACTATCTATACAGATAGCTCTGTGTTGAGGGGCAGACAAAGTGCATGGGGTTTTGTAGCAGCGGTGAATGGACGTCGCCTAGTGCAGCAAAGCCTTGCATATGATATCAATGACGTCTAGTTTGAAAACGGAGGTAGAGGCAGTCTCTGCTGCCTTCCGCTGGCTTGAAAATTAGCTGTACACAGATGACTGATTGTAACTGACTCACAGAGCATGCTGCGAAAGGTGAAAACAGGCATGCTCTGTGCAGAGTGGCAAGCATCACTTTAGAGGTACCGGGTAGTTAGCATCGGTTGGATATTTTCTCTAGGCATGCCGGTGTATTGGGAAATGAGCAGGCATATAGACCGGCTGGCTCTGCACCACATGGTGGTGAATTGATGTATGTCAAATTAGATATTGTGAGGGCCCTTTGGGAACAAGTAAATTGTGCAGAGGAACAGATAGATCATTATGGACTGAGAAGAATAGCGCTGCGAGGAGTTACCAGATCTTGCCGATGCTCTACACTCAGAGGAAGGATCAGCCAGATATACAGTCAGACGGTTACTGGTACCATCAGAATTGGAACTCTTCACTTGCTGCTGAAGATGGGGACTGACCACTTATGGGAGTGTCCAGAGTGCTGTGATGTCAATTCTTAATTCAACATTATATCTGAATTGTTAGTTTAGTTCCTTCTGTCTCACAGCATTAGCATTTACTTCAGACTTAATTTAACGTCCCTACTTCAAACTGAAACATCTGTGGAAATAAGAAGTTACAGTATTTATTATCTGGTTTTAAAATAATATACCTTCTGAATTTTAGCCCAATATATCTAAAGCATTTTGTGATGTTTTGAGATTTCTAACTTTGCTAAAGGAACTGTGTGGAGTATACTGATGAACACATCTACAATCCAGACATTTCAAATGATATTACAACAGTTTCAACAATGCATTTCTTCTTTACAGCAGCAGTTTATAAATGCTGAATAATGCTTTTTGAATTGCAACAAACAGTAAAAAATAAGCTATATGCCAAAATTTGAGAAAACTCACTATGTTTTTACTGAAAGGATCACACCCACAGACATAAATATAAATTTCTCCATATTATGTAAAATCATCTAACATCTTATCTCTAGGCTCTCCCTTTTCTCCATCCCCCCCCCCCCCCTCAATTCTCCTGCTGTCACAATGTTATTATAATATGACAATCTTAGTATGCTATGACAATATTAGTATGATATGACAATCTTAGTATGATAATATGATTATACACATAATACACCAAGTGAAACCATATTCTTTCAGTAACATCGTAAACAATTTATGAGTAGCTTAGGAAATCATTTTCACAATCAAACTGACTACATACTCATAAACAAGTCTGAACACTATCATCAGATCCATTTATTTTGTACGGTGACATAATAATGAGATCTGCACAAAGATAAGACAGTATGATTAGGAACAAGAATGAGATGAGAAGCATACAGTCATAGAGGCATGGGAGAAGAGAGAGAGAGAGAGAGAGAGAGAGAGAGAGAGAGAGAGAGAGAGAGAGAGAGAGAGAGAGAGAGAGAGAAACCTATATACATGAGCAAGCTAACCTAAAAAAAAAAATGCTAAACACAAAGTAAATTAACCTTTTTGTCTTTCTCCAGGTCAAACAGATCATTGGTCTTTGATGCAAGCTCCACTTTATCTTTCAATTCCTGTTCCAAAACAGCAACTCGGGTTTGCAGATGACTGATGGATTTGTCTTTTTCCTGGCATGTCTTTTCTAGAGAAGAATGCTCCTTTCTCAAAGTATGCAGCTCTGTTTTGATTCTGGCATTCTCTTCTTCTAATGCAGACAGTTTAGATTTATAATCTCTGATAGAAGAATCTGATTTGTACTTTCTGTCTGTCAGTTCCTGAAAGAACAGTGTGAATTTCTGTTAGCAATGAGTCGGATAATGTCAAAAATATGTTATGGTATAAGTGAGCTTAGTGTTACCTAAAAACAACAAACTGTCTACAGTATGTAAATGTTTACAGTGAGTCCACTGATTTGTGCACACAGTTAGACTAGCCTTGATTATTAAAAAAATACGGTGACATTTCCTTTCTGTGTGTGGTGTGTTTTGTTCCTATTGGTGTTTGCTGATGAAAGATAGTCAGCACTATGTCTTCTTTTTTATTTAACAACAATCTGTAAAGCTGACATACACTTAGTGTTTGTCAGGGGTGGAGAGGTGGGTGGCAAGGTCAGAGCCTGTGTACAACAAGGTCATCTCGCCTCCTCTGACATACTTTCTCCTCTTTGGCAGCCAGTTAAGTTTTCCTCTCATTCCCTGATCTTCCCTTCGCCTCTTATTATGACGTTATGTAAGATGATCTGCACTACTCAGGACAGTTTCAAGCTGTAAAGAACAACAAACAGTGACATAGTTCTGTCAACATCATCTATTTCTATTATAATCAGCACAGTTAATGCACTTATACACATGTCCTCATTACTACTAACTAAACTATCGCTATAACTACCATCACTATTCTACATCCATGTTGTATGGCCACACTGCGGTTGTCCAGACCATCCGCTAGAACGTCCAGTCGAGGACTGTCCTCAGCCAGTTCACAACCTGACTCACCCTTACTTCAGGTAGTCCATATGGCTTCTGTGGCTTTTGTAAACACACCATGAAAATCACATGTTTAGTGAACACCCTATAAAAGAAATATTCTAAAATCTAGCAAAGGGGGCGACTAAAAAGAAGCAGTTTCATCCACCAGGCTCAACGACTCTGCAGGCAAACCAATGATCTGCCTGCAACTGATAGCCCCTTAAATGCTATTCCAGATCAGACCCCTTGGAAAGAGGATTAAAAGTTGCCAATACACATACAGACAAAAGTTAAAGAATTATTCGACAAGGAAGAACAAAACAGTATGCAAGCTAAAACAGCCACCCTCTCTCTACTTGATGACGAATACCTACACAATCTTTGGGTTCGTGTCTATACGGATGGGTCAGCACAAAACACAAGCAGAAATGGAGGAGCAGGAGTGTATATTGAGCATCCCAATAATACCAGATATACAGCCAAAATATCTACAGATCATGTCCTTCAAGACTGTCCCAAATTCAACATATCAAGGCAAAACTTTTTGCCAAGAGAAGCATCGGTGCAAGTCAAAATGTACGGGTCGCTGAGTGAATTACAAAAGACAGTAAAGTTCATAGTAGAGACAAGATTGCAGATATAGACAATCTATTTCAAGAGAACAAAAGAAGAAGAAGAAGAAGATGTTTAGCGCTTTTCTAGAAGTCCCATATTCCTCCGATCTCCACCCCTACCACGATCATGACAGTGTTTTTCCAAAAGATTTGTTACAGTGAAAGCAGCACACATAGCAGATCCTGCAATCCATGAATCAGTCCAATAACAGGGTAAACAAACACCATGATGATGAGAGACAGCACTCTTCCTTTTAGATCTGGCTGGAATAATTTGTTGCTAGATTTGAGTAAGCTTGCTAAGATATGAACCCATATTAACCATGTCAGAAGGCACATAACATGTACCTTTTGGTCACATTCATTGAAGGTATTCATGAAAGGCACATGCAAGATTATGTAAATACTTGTAAGTAAATTAGCACCTGCATCTGCATGCATAAGCATAAATTGTAAGTATCGAAATAACTTACTTTATTAGCAAGTTCATATTCCTCAAGACGAGTTTCCAGCTGTTTAACTAACTTGGAATGGGCCTGTTCAAGTTCCCTGCGATCTCTGTCAAACTGTGTCTGAAGGCTTGACTGAAACTAAGAACATGAACATAGTTAACAGTCATCTACATATTATTATCAACATTCATTCTGTTTTTGTGATATCTTCAGATGAGAAGGTTTGCAGAATACTGTGTTAGCATAACAAAACTGAGGATATTAGAGACAAAGGTCAACAGTGGGGGGAAATTATGTATGAGCTGACAGAATAGCACGGAAAGTGGACATGCTTATCAAGAATATAGAAAAATGGGGTCACTTCGTGCTAGCATGTTACCACATGCACAATGAATAGGACAACCCCAAAACTAACTGTAACATACTGTTAGTATATTTACAAAGAAGATTTATGTCTGTACATTTAGTCACCGTCTGTGGGTTAGAGTCCGTGTTTGTGGCTTAGAGTCGGTGACTGTGGCTTAGGGTCGGTGTCTGTGGCTTAGAATTGGCATGTGTGGCTTAGGGTTGGCGTCTGTCGCTGAGGCGTTGCAATAGAGTTTCTTAATGCCAGGGTGCCAGTTTCGATCCCAGCTGTGGATGATTTGGCAGAAGAAAAAATTTGCCTGAAAGAACCACAGCCAAAAAATGTCCTGTAAAAGATATGCAACTAACTTTTAACATGTCTTCTTCTTCGTGTTCACCAGCTGTAAACTCCAGCAGAAAGTTTTGGTTCTTCATCCACTTCTGGACTCTAGCCCTGTTCCAGAAACTGAGTGTTGCATGCACATGTGTTTCACAGGTCTGACTCATTTGCATGCAGACTGTTGGTTCCTTGCTTCCCAGGCAGATGCACTCTGACATAGAAGGAAGCTCCCACTTAGCAAACTCTTATGACATGCTTTTGGACAGTTTTTACCTCTCTGTTATCTGACATTCTCTCAATATGCCCTAGTCATTTCAGTCTGTTAACCCTTGTGATGCCAGTGATCAGCCTAACACAATACCTGTTTTAAATTACCTTGACTAATTGTGAATTGAAGGAGTATCTGCATATTACTGTGAACATTTTTCCTTCTTTTTTCTTCCTGTATCAAAAAGAAGTTATGCCCCCTTCTCCTTCCCCACCCCCTCCAACATCTTTGTTAAATTGTAATTCCCTTGAGATGGTTCATCCATTCGATTAAATAAAAGGGGAGGGGTGGGTGTTTGATCTTAGAGGTAGTAAAGATGAATTTATAATCGGCATATGTAAGATTCATTCCTTCGCATCAAAAGAGTTGAGAGGATCAACTTTATTGCATCCTTTGCAATCCAGGCTTTTCATTGGCTAAGTATAGTACAAAACTGTACAGCTCCATTAATGATCTCCAAAACACCTTAAGTGAAGGACAGAGCCACAAACCAAACTTACAACCTTCCAAATGTGGGCAACCAGTGTAGCCACTACACCACAGAAGTCCTCCTAGTGAAGGTTTGATGAAACACTTTTATACAAGAATTTATACACAGTTAAAGCTAGACTTGATACTAGTGAATTTTGCTCATAACCTTCAGATTTATTCTTAGATGGAAAACAAATTATAATGTTAATTATGCAGTGACTATCTAAAAATATACTATGACACAATCTTCTTCTTCTCCTCCAGCATTCTGAGCCCTTGAAGTTAACTGCTGCAGACATCACCTGCCTTTATTCATCTCTTGGATTAGTCATATTTTTCTAGTTGATAACTCCAAGTGTTTGCAGGCCTGCCTGTATTTTATCTCCTTGGTCTGACGTATTTTATCTCTCCCAGTCTCCTTGATCTGCCTCGTGATCTAAGACACTCAACTACATTGAGTATACAGTTTTTACCTCTCTGTTATCTGACTTATTCCCCAGTCATTTCAGGTTGTTAACCATTATGATGCCAGTGATCACCATAACACAATACCTATTTAAAAGTATCTATACAGATGGTTCAGTGTTGAGAGGAAAGAGAAGTGCCTGGGGGGTTTGTAGCGAAAGCTAATGGAATATCTTTAGTGCAAGACAGCCTAGCATATGACACCACAACATCTAGCATGAGAATGAAGATGGAGGCAGTAAATGCAGCTCTCCAGTGGCTAAAGAAAAAGATGCATACACATGTCGTAATTGTAACAGACTCTGGAAGCATGCTGAAAATGGTAAAGAACGGGATGCTTCGAGTGGCAAGCTTCACTGGAAAGGTCACAGGTAGTGAGCATACTTTGGATCTTTTCTACAGCAATGCTGGCGTGGTTGGTAATGAACAGGCAGACAGATTGGTTGGATCTGGGTGGTGAATTGATACATGACAAGGCAGATGTGGTCAAGGCCCTTTGGGAACAAGCAACGGAGTCAGTAGAAGAAGATTATTATGGCCTCGAGAGAATGAAGCACCTGCGTGTAACCAGAGAGTCTAGTCGACTCACTACACTCAGAGGAAAGGCAAGACAGACATTTAACCAGATTGTGACCAGTACTATCAGTATTGGAACTCTGAGCTGGCTGCTGAAGATGAGGATGGAGCATGCATGGAAATGCCCCCAGTGCTGTGATGTCAATTCTTGACTCAACTCAACCTATTTAAAATTAACTTGACTAATTGTGAACTAAGGACTATCTGCATATTATTGTAAATGACTACTATTAATAACCTCAATTTTTTTTTTTTAATATCACACTAGGAAAATGCGAACTCAATGCAAAAATTCTGTAGCTGCATGAATGTGATAATATTAATATAACAGAATGCACACACATGACAAATATTCTACTGTGGGTGAGTTTTCTCATGTTTAACATGTGTTACTACAAGGACCATGCTGACTACATCATCTAAAGAGCTCCGACTGGTCTATCAAATATAGGTCTAGCCCTATATGCCTATTACGCCTGAAGGCGTGGGAAAGGGTCCTTTACTTCACCCAGAATGGGAAGGTTGGGGAGCCACTATAGGGTTTTCCTTATTTCTCCCCCCCCCACCCCCACTCCCACCCCCCCCCCCCCCCCCCCCCCCCATTTGCTCTTCATGTAATAGTGTGAAACTGGTGTTTTTCCTACTTAGTTTCTGATATTTATTTTTCTTATCTACCTTATGTTATATAAAAGAAAATAAGTAATAAAATTAAATTAAATGCCAAAACCAATATGTTTAAAAAATTCAAACAGCAAACTTTCATTCAGAAGTATGAATATACCTGGACTGTCTTCTCCTTCTCAACAGCCATAGCCTCTTTATTTTTCGCTGTGATTTCTGCAACACGAGATGACCATTCTAGTTTAAGAGATTCCAGTTCCTCTGTTTTTGTGACCAAACGCTAAAAAAAGCAAATTTAAAAAAACTTGTTTGAACAAATATTACGCTAATTTTATCTGAAACAAAAGCCTTCTCTGTCATGCTATCCCATAAATGTTGTCTAAATCATGTAGATAGGTTGCCAAACCATGGTGCAATATTTGCAGCCATGTTGTCATGATGAAGTCACTCAACTTCACTGGATTAAAACAGGAGCTACACAAGTTCTACTTCAACCTGGCAACCTCTGACCTTATCTAACATCAGCTGAAACTTAAATTTTGCTCTGAATAATGGAGGTCTAAAAACATCGCTAACAGGCTAAACCAACATCTTTAATTTAGCTCCATAATTCTAACTGTAAATGCTATACATTTTTTCAGTCTAATAAGATTTAAGCATGTCCAGACATGCATAAAACATGATAAAGTCACTGAAAGATTGCTGTTTTCAAAGTTGGAGCTTATCAAAAACATGTCTACTGAATAAAAGAAACATCAACATTCACAATTTAATGAATGGAGTTCAATGAAAGTATGTCTAATGAAAGAATTTATCAAACATACATGGATGCAGTTTAATGAAAGTATGTCTAATGAAAGAATTTATCAAACATACATGGATGCAGTTTAATGAAAGTATGTCTAATGAAAGAATTTATCAAACATACATGGATGCAGTTTAATGAAAGTATGTCTAATGAAAGAATTTGTCAAACATACATGGATGCAGTTTAATGAAAGTATGTCTAATGAAAGAATTTATCAAACATACATGGATGCAGTTTCCTGAAAGTATGTCTAATGAAAGAATTTATCAAACATACATGGATGCAGTTTAATGAAAGTATGTCTAATGAAAGAATTTATCAAACATACATGGATGCAGTTTAATGAAAGTATGTCTACAAGATGAATCAATCAAACCTCTTGAGTTTCCTGAAGCTGGCTGCTTAATTCTTTATATGTGTGCTCAAATTTGTGCTGGATCAAACTGTTAGTTTCCTGATTGTAAAATTTAAAATGTTTCAGATATTAACATGTTCAACGAATATGTCCGCAGTAATATTTTGAGTAAGACAGGGGTAAGTCTTGTGGATACAGAAATTAACATCTGATGCAACAAAGCAAATCAAGTAATGGGATAACTATTCCCCCTTCCCCTTCCTTTTACAGCATATTACAATCCCAGTCAGCCTAAAGAAACATCTTTTACAAAGCCTATATTCCATCTTATGCTACCAGTTTCAGACATAGTTACAACAAACAAGAATTTAAAAAATTAGTAACCATGGAAATGAGAAGTCTGAGAAAGGTTGCTGGAGCCACCAGAAGAGATAAAATCAGTGACAATGTTTTAAGAAAAAATGAAGGCACAGAACAAATTCTAAATAACCTACAAAGAAAGCAAATAAAATGGTTTGCTCACTTAGAGACAACATCCTGCAATGCCATATCATACAAGGCATATACCAAAAGAGCAGAGCAACAGTCAGACCAAGACCAATATAGAAAGATAAGATAATATGAGAGAAATTCTACAACCGCGAGATGCGTCTATGGTAAAGTCAGCCAGAAGAGCAAGAAGTATAACCTTACATCTCCACTGACAACCAAAGTAGAAGAAGAACAAGTAAAGAAGAACAAAAAAGCATATCATCCAAACTCAGCATGGTTTGTTTTTAATTCCTTTATTGATTTTTGTCCGTTTTTATTATTATCCATATTGATTATTTTCAGAATTCTCATGACAGTTACAGTGTGCAGCTAGTTCTCAAGCCAAAAGATGACTGCAGTTTCTGCCTCTACTTCTATTCTCATACAAGAAGTTGTCATATCGTGTGGTGTGAATTGTCAGGTATCAGTTGCTGGACTTGATTCTACAGCACCTGTTCACCAGCCTCTGCACTCTCAGGTCAATGTGATTAGGACTCTACAAAAGTCTGTCTGTTGCTCAGCAACGATGACTCACTCCTCTCCTCTCCAAACATTTTCAAGCATGCACACTGAACAAATTAGGACAAATAAAATTAAACAAAGGATTTCTAATAAATTAAATCATAGGTTTAGCTGATGCTGTAGTTTAAAAAACTGGGCTAGAACCGATTACAGCTAGGCAAGTTCTTTTGGGGGTAAATTACCATGAATCAGTGTTTTGTTTCTATAAATATTTCACGAAATAAAGCACCACTCAAATCAACATATTTCACTGTCATTATAAGTCAACAAGCCAGCACAGAAATCTCAACTTCAGCAACCAATACCCCATTTAGAAAGTAAAAAAAAAAACAAGAATAATTTACGCAGGGATCAGATGTATGTCTGATTTTCTTAATTATGACGATACATATTCGAAATGGTAAATAATATTTTACTTGTACCACAGAAGCATACTTTGCAATAAATAAATATCAATAAGAGCAAGAAAATGTTCTAGATGCAAATAATCAATACTCTGATACAGTCTCATCCTTCTCTCTTTCAATCCCTGCAAGGCCAGTGAATGAACAGGAGAAGAGTGCAGAGAGAAAACAAGACTAGCCAAAACCAAGGGAGAGATGCACAAAGTAAGTGGAGAGATCCAATGTTTGGCCAGTTTCTAATGGAAACCAGGTCAAGATATGAAAAATGTACAACAAAAAAGATTAAAGCAGGACAGACAGGATAACAATTAGAAGAAGACTGGTAGCATGTGTGACAAACCAATGAAATATTTCATTCCTGCAAGAGTTAACTGCATCTTTTTGGTTAAAAGAATTTGCGCACTTTAAAAAAAATAGATACGGGAATAGTGGAAAATGTACGACGGAGTTAAGAAGCACACAAGTTATGACGTTTTTCTAAGTTGCTACTAGGAAACAAAACCCTAGATTTAGTCATTTGTTGCTACACCAAACGACCATTTCAGCCATTACATCGGCTTAGCAGGAAATATCAGAACATTGCGAATTCAGGTGAGAGTTATAATAGGAGGGAGTAGATGAGATCCCCTGTAAACCCTTTCCATATCCTAAAATATTTTTTCAGGATCCTACCATTTGTTGATTCTTTATATGAATATTCAGTGACTTCATAAACCTTTATACTTGTCCATTTGACTACAATAACTACCTACTAGTTTTGACATATTAAGATATTCCGGTAAAAATGGACGTTTGGCAGCGGCACTGTTCGAAACAGAGGCAAATTTTTTGCTTCTGCTGGACGGTGGCCGATGCATTTTTGCTCCATTTGTAGACTGGATATAGTTTCATTGCCCAGCTTCTGAGTTGAATGCATGGCGTGACCCTGTGAGCTGCCGATTGCATTTGGAATGTTTTTTCGACTGTGACCAACGTGTTGGTGTGAATTGTAGATTCAGAAAATGGCGCGATGCCTGTCGTGCAGTGTTGTGGTGCCCATATGTGATTAAAATTGATCGCGTGGGCAACTGCTGATCTGATGGCGACTTCTGCTACCATCAATGATGAACTGCAATTCTAAAACTGTGATAAACATTCTGTGTGTTTTTCGTTGGCACAGGAGCGGAGCAAAGATGGGGTGACCCGTTTGCTATGAAGCTGAAACTAAGACTACCAGACTACATATTAGGAGGTTCCTTAGGTTACTATTCAAGGTTAGGACTATTGATAAGCGAACCCTCTATCACCTTGTCATCTTTTCTGAGAATACTCAATTGGTATCCTTGCGTAATGATCTTAAACCATGCGGTATCATCAACTGTATATACCCTACACTGCGTATATTTATTAAAAAAGTAAAAGGAAGGGACATTTAGTCACACCGTCAGTTGTATGGGCACATAGGGCTGGCATGTTTTTTATAGACCAACTGGCCCTTGTGCGTTGATGTGGTCAACATCACACCTGCCACCTTTACTTCTCATGACTATACCTGGTGTCCATTCAAGGTGAAATCCACCTGGGTCTGTCAGGACTCAAACTCATGACTGTCCCATCCTCAATGTGAGCGTTTGTCTGCTACATTATGTCGAGTTTCATTTGATAGTGCAAAGAATTGTGTATGTATACAACAATATCAGAAAATGTTAGGGAGGTTAATTATTTATGCTCATGGAGAAAGACATTGTATGTAATGCATTACTTTTTTCCCTAACTACTCTGAAAACACCAGAAACACAGCAACACTTCTACCCGCCACAGATGCATTAGCATAATCCTCACCCCAAGAACAACTGATGTATTTTCCAGGTTCCCTATACCTACCCTAGATTGCCAACATTGTAGAATGAAAAGAACTGTGATCTGAATTTAACTAAACAGACTACAAATTGAGGAAAGCCAAGGGCTGCTGAAGTTGCAAGTTATGTTGTTCCATTCACCAAGGAATGCTGTATTCTACCTGAATAAACTTAAAGCTGAGCGACATTTGAGACTGATTTGGATTGCTTCGGTGTTAAATGATGGTTTTTTTTTGTTGAGTTGTTGAATAATTGAAAAGAATGTTCTGGGTTGGGTTGTGTCAATAAATTTGTTTATTTAGTATTACCCAACTATCTGATTATGTCAATTGGTATCTGTTTGAATTCCTTGTTTGATGAAGTATTTTACTCTCTAATTCCTTTGAGTTCAATTATGAACGTATTGAACTTTGAGTATTCACAAGTTTATTTAGAAGAATAAATATTTATTCAGTAATTTTCCGGGGATTTACCCTATTCATATAATTATCTGAGTTATCAGATTGTATTGAATTCCCTTCATTTCTATGAACTCAGGGGAAAAATTTATTTACCATAGACAAGAGCCCTGTCAAACATTAATTTAGGAGGGATTATATGGATCTCCAAGCGAGGATACATTCCGCGATCTAGTCTACGACACATGTCAATGACATTGGTAATCAATACATCAGGTGCCTGCCTACACAGAAGATAACTATAGACTGTTGTTATAAATGACATACTGCAAAATAAAAATACACATTTTCACATCCAAGATTGAAATTCAAGCCTTATTTCCTTTTTTATTTTACTGCTCTGTTGTTATTTTTTTTTAAAATAGGAAAATAACTGCATAATAACCAGAAAACAATGAGACTCGCAAAAGGGCAAAATATTGACTTCACTTAAAGACATGTATAAAACAATGAAGCTAATACTGATTTTCTATATGAATAAATACATTACACCAAATCTGGATGGATTTCAAATTTTTTTGCTAGAAAATACAATACCTTCATCTGCTTCAGGCAACTGGCCAGATGTGATTTCACATCAGCATCTGAGCCCGGCAAATACTTGAGGGAGAGATGGTTCAGATGTTTGAAAGGATTAATTTCCACTATGTTCATTACAGCAGGTGCATCTGATCCTGATAGTACTGTGCTGCCTCCATTAACAAAATGAATGACAAATCTGAATCAGAGAGACAAAATGAAAAGGGTAAATTAGCAATACTTTAACCAATATGTGTCAACAGCGTTAATTCACACTGATTTTAATGAATAATTTCACCTGTAATGGGAATCAGAAAGGTATCTCAGAAACTAATGTTATCACCATTTACCAGTTGCAAATTGTTCTCCCTCTTGTCTGGTTTTATTTACATGATCTTACCTGTAACCCAAGTGATTAAGCAAAAACTGAAACCTCGAAAAGTCACACAGCCAACTGCTGGGCCACTTGTTTCCTGCTTGAGCTGAAAACATTTTTAGATTTAATCTTCACTACTGTGCAACTAAAATAAGTACCTGAGACAATGTGCCCTGTTTAATGTAGATACCAGCTGTACTTTCAGTCTTCACAGAGTTTACAATCTGCCAAGTAAGAGCAGCTTAACAGAGAAGGCTATTTTCCTCATTTTCACAGCGGTTCCAAATAAGTATGGAGTCATTCCTTTGACTATTTATTTAACTTCTGTCCTTCAAATTTTACAAAAATACATAATGTTATTGTTTATTTAACAATGTGCAATATCACATTATAAATGATCAAATACTCTGAGAAAATGCATCAAACAGAAAATCAAGTCGCAAAGAACAAACTTTACTTTGGATTGTCCTTGGAGTTTTCTCTGATGCACATTTCTAGAAGATCCACAAACTTTTGAGGGAAAGCAGTAAAATCTACCAGCAATCCCTGCTGCATCTTCAGACTGTAATTGAAACAGTAAATATTGTTATTCGGCTGCCGGTGAAACTGCTTGGCAAGCAATAACTATAAAGAGAAACAATGTTGGTGGTTGTTAATAACAGCAAACATAAATAGTAATAGGCTTTAATGATTTTTTTAATTTAACTTATTAAGAGAAAAGGTTATAAGAAGGAAGTTTCCTCACCTCTTGAAATACACGTTGCAACAAACCTCCCCACCCCCCTTCAAAAAACAAAAGAAAATTAGCCCCAATTCCCTGTAACAGGGAGGGTTGTGTACAGCTAGTATATTTAACCAGTACCTCTAAAGCCACCCCCAAGTCTATTAAAATGATACTTATCGTCATCTCCTTGTAGGTTGCATTTTTTAGTTATTTTGAAGCCCCAACATGGCTTTTGCCGGGGGCCCTAAATATAGCCGGGCTTTAAATATAGGCTAACGGCTGAACAGGGTTTCCAGGCCCTCTCCATGGGTGATCCTCATCCACATGGTGGCACTTTGTGTTACTGGGTGTTTATCGCTTGTGTGATGTCCTGGTGGGGTACAACTCACCTATCTATCAAAAGGAGAACAAGGTCTGAGTCAATAAAGGTGATCAGCACAATACCTGCTTTATTAATCACCATGTGCTATCTGATCACAGAAAATATGGGCCAGTATATATCCCCAATGAAAGCCTGACAGTGTAGTGGCTAGATGTTCATCTGTCATCCTGAAGGTCCAGGGTTTGAATTCATATTTCTTTTTTTTAGATAAGTGACCTTGGCTCCTAGGTCAAGCCAGTCAAAAACTGGTTCTTGTTCTTTAGGCAATCTTTTCTTATCTGTCCCAAGCATTTTCCTGGTCTATAAACATGACTTTGTAGGTCTATCATACTCAGCTGTTCTTTCTGTAAGCAGCCTTAATGTAAATATTCAATTTGTGCAGCTTTTGTTTTATCTAAATCCCATCTGGATTTCTGAGAGTTGTTCTTCCAGTAATGTTCTCCTCTTTCAATTAATTTGGTGCACATTTTCTCTGTGTGGTTTAGTAATGATAGGCCTTTATGCAATCTCTTTTACCGCCTTTGTCAAATGGTTTGGATTCTTCCTGTTTGCATATTATTTGATACTAAATTTTAAAAAATTTAACTAAATTACTTCACATAACTAGACAGAGGTAAACTTTCAAGTGCAAAAGCAAAGCCTGGACTAATAAATACAAACATAGTAAGGGTCCTGGCTCGCTCATTCACTTGCATGCATGCATAGTCACACAAGCACATGCACACACACTAGCCAAGGGAGAACATAGCCTGCTCTGACAAGTTTATGATACACATTTCTCTAGATCCCCCGTGTGGGTTCCGGGGCCCTATTGTGGGGAAAACAAGAATAGACCCACTGCCTCCCCAAAAGCATGTCGTAAGAGTCGACTAATTGGGGAGCTTCCTTTGAAGTCGGAGTGCATCTGCCGGAGAGGCAAGGAACCAACAGTCCGTATTCAAGAGAATGAGATCTGTAAAACTGATGCATACGCAACACTCAGGTTCTGGAGCAGCACTGCAGTTCAGTAGTGGACGAGCAACCAGAACTTTCCGCCAGAGTGTACACCTGGTGAACGCGAAGAAGAAAATTTCTCTAGATGTCAAATCACTACTTTCTATTTCCTGAGAATATCGGGGCAACCAAATCTAATTTATTTCCTAAGCCATTCCAAAGCAGTTCTTGTATTGCCAGGGACTCTGTATCTATTAACAGCAGAGACAACTGTCCCAGTTCCTCATCTGGATCCAGAGTGTAGGGAATTTAAAAGACATGAAAATGCTAAAGTTGAAACATCTTTCATTACAAAAATATAGGCAACAGTTAATATAGCTCATATGTGGGGTGGGACAGAGAGTGTTACATCTGTGTATCTCCTTCTCAGACAACTGCAAAGTATCATGGAGTATATTCAAATATAGCCACAAGCATGAAATGAAAGAAGAGGTGGTCAAGCCTCTCTGAGGTGACGTTTTGAGACTCTATAAATAAGTTAGTCTCCAAAGCCAACCCAGCCAATGTTCTGAAAGTTTGGAACTTGATATTTCTGGCTCGAGTGATTGACATACATAGTCCCCACACCTACTAGAGCTGAAACCGCTCTTCTATCTAGTCATGCCAGCGTACACAGAACTGAAAAGTCCAACTGACTGGCCTCTGAGACAAACTCTATGGGGAACATTAAAGCTGAGCTAAGGGAGATATGCCACTGAATGTTTTAAGAGAAAACACATACCAAGAATATATGCAGATAATTGTGATGGAACCCAGAATCCAATATGGTTCTAGCAGGAAGGGTTTTAGTAAAGGATGAAGCAGAGGAATGCATTACCAAATGGGCACTGAAAGTAAATCTAAGTATATATTAGCATACTATTCAGGAAGATGGGAGTACACATGGGCAGGTTTCAAGTGATGTGATATTGTTGTTGTAATGCTGACAAAAGGTCCCCCGGTTATGCGCTCCTCTGTTTTTTCCATCATCATCCATTATCATCATGGCATATTCAAAATAAGTAAAAATAACAGATCCCTTTTCTTGCCACTGGTATATTGAGAATAGGGTACTAGCACAATACTTCTTGACCAAATCGGCACTTGATGGACAATGTTATCTATACCACGCCAGTTGCTTTAACTTCCTATGACATATCCCTGAACAATTTTAGACTGGTTTGACCAGATAAATAATTTTTAATGTCTTTTCTTAAATGTGATCAAATGACCACGAAGCGAGCTGACTGTGCTACTGCAACTACCATGGCAGTAAGAAATCCTTGTCCACACTTTCAGGTGTGCTGGTCATGTTTGCTAGCTCAATACTTTTACAGACTTGTTAATGTGATGGGTGATGTGGTCAGTATTCCATGAAGCGCCTTTAAATACCAAAATATGTTCTAGGTCAACATGGAACTTTGGTCAATTAATAAAATCATCACCTTTATGGGGATTTAAATTTATGACTACCGGCTAAGAAGCCAGTATGCTATAGCAACAGTTCTTTAGCACATCTTGTTGCATAATGTTCTGGATCCATATTTTATGCCAAGCTAAACTCAACTGGTCCTGTAATCAACGTAACACCAACCACTGTAACTCTAATGAGGCTAGGTTGACAGTGAAGCCAGGTGGTCACTGGCTAAAATCTCTCTAACATCACCAGGGTTTGTGAATATTTTGTATGAGTCTACTAATCTGTTTGACCCAGATAGTTATTGTTCAATGGCTATATAAATTCCTAGTACATCCTTCATGCATGACTAGTTTTACATAATATGTATAATTGGAGGCTTTAAAAACTCGACAAATTTGATATACAACAAATAAAAAACAGCATACAAATTAACATAGAATATAATCAATTTTTTAACTTTCAACAGTATCTAATTTCAAATAGTTAGTTTATCTCTCAGAAGTGTGACAGCTGTCCAAGTGGTTAGAATGTTGGGTTCTCGTGCTGGATACCAAGGTTTAGTATCTTTTGTGAAGTAATGGAAGTTTTTTTTTTTTTTTTTTCAGGGCAAAAATACAAATCCTAACCTGCACAGTTCATGGTGACTGCTCTTCCTATGCCACCATGAATTCTCAAGCTAAACAACCCCCTGTCCTACACTGCCTTAAACTGTGGTAAAAACAGGCAGCAGCAACTAACTGAACCACTGCTTCCCTAATGGTTGCTACCACCTCTCGGGGGAGGGAGGGTTGCACAGGGATGGTCCGGGGAGGATGGTAGCTGCCTCGATCAAATGGGGGGGGGGGGGGGGGGGGGGGGGGGGGGGGGGGGGGGGGTAGAAGGATGGGATGGTTCAGAGGTAGTAACAGTAGTTATAACCTCAAATTCAGTTAACAAGACCAGGAAGGGGGGGGGGGGGGGATTCATTTCATTACTGTAAATTCACAGTGATGGCTTATTTGACAAAATTATATATATGCTATGAACCGTGAAGCATTTCATCTATCTCTCAACACAGAGCCATCTGTATAAGATAATCACACTGCCTGGGTGGGTGGGAATTGTCAGGAAGCATTTGTTGAACTTCTCATCCTGCAGCACCAGCTGGTCAGTCGTTGCACTCAAGACCTCAAGTGATTAGAACCCTACACAAGTCTGATTCTTGCTTGGACACTTTGACCCACTCTTCTCCTTGCTCAAATCTATCAAGCCTGCACACATGTCTAATTGTGTCTTTAGCTTGCATCACCTAAGACTTTACTCTTTTAATTCTGTGACACTTAGCTTTACCTAAGGCTTCATGCATTGTCTACAGTTGCCTGTAGTTCTTTGGCTTTCTGTTGTCTATGACTGCCCTACCTAAATGCGAAATCATCTACAAATGTCAATATTTCCTGGTGCTTCAAGTTCTGAAATCTTGCCAGTATACAGTACTGGTGAGAAGAGCACCGGTGAAATTGCAAAACCCTGGGGTAGTCCCAGGACGAGGCAACATGGTTCTGAGGTCCTTGTACCCAGGCAAAGGGCACCCATACATGAATGCAGGACACCTGCTATCCGGTTCATCAGCCAGGGACACAATCACTTCTTCACGAGCGCAGATATCAAAATAAAGACTGCAAACTACATATAACTCATGTCTGCAATGTTTTATGGCATAAACAGTAGGACAAAAAAAATGAGTAATGTTTTACTCATGCGGCTTGCAACACCCCCTGCTCCCTCCCCAGTCTGCCTTGTTTACTCATAAAGAACACTAACACCAATGCATTTAGTATAACGCATAATGCAGAAGCTGCCAGAACAAGAAAGTAGTGCTGTCTGTCTGCCTGTTGAAGTACCTTCCTAGACCAGCTCCCAACTAAGGACCCAATAAGCTCCCAGCTAAAAACCTGATCTGCCCAGTCCACACAATTTTGTTTTTAGGTTGCATTTCCACATCACAGGAATAGTAAAACTACCCCCCTCCCCCCTTTTCCCCCAGGATAAGTAAAAAAAACTACCCCCCTCCCCAGGATAAGTAAAACTACCCCCCTCCCCAGGATAAGTAAAACTACACTCCCCCCCCCCCCCCCTTTTGTACCTTCTATGAAATTTAAAAAAAAATAGGGTGCTGTTCAGAAGAAAAGAACTAGTCCAGCAGCGGACTCCAGTCCACTATCGCATCCCTAGAAATGGAAAGGCAGATGAGTCCTGAAAGGCTAGTGGGAACCTCATGCAGCCCCATCTGTCCAAGAGCTTTAAAACGAAAAAAAAAATAGCTATGAAGCTGAACTGGAGAGAATGTCTCAAGAACTGCAGACAAAAGCATGCTCTAAAAAATCCCCCCCCCCCCCCCCCACCAAAGCTATGTTACTGCATCATTCTATTTATGATTACAAAAGGTATATTACAAGGCAAGGAATAGCCTGAGTACTTGGTGACAACTGGCAGGACTGACAGAGAGAGGGTTGGACAAAAACAAAGAGATAAATACTCTGTTGGCCTGGCCATATGAATGAGATCAGACAAGAGCATTGACCTGATCTGTGATTCTGTTGACTATGTAGATTGCAGATTATGGCCACTTATGCTTATTATTATGGAACATGATACATACTTGCAGGAAGAGGGTGGCGGTGAGGGCTGAGTAATTTTTGTTTTTACTGAAAAGGGAACAGAGGGCGAACAAGTTTGGGAACCTATAATCCATATAAATCAAAACAAAGTACTTACCTATGAAAGTCATTTTCTGCTAACCGAAGTGTGTACAGAAACAGCAAATCCTCATCATCAGTCAATTTTACTATCAAATCCTGGAACATTGTAAGAAACAACTTATAAATAATCATCAAAAACATGATGGATATTCTTTTAAAAAAACTAATAAATCCAATATAACATCATGCAAATCAACACACTACTTTTACATTGTTAAGAGACTTACTTGATACAACAGGAATGTACAAAAATTTCCAGTGAGGTTGAAGTCCAACAGTTTTTTCATGACAATTCATGCCCAAGTGATCTGATTATCTATAAAGATGGTTCGGTCCTGAGAGGACAGAGAAGTGCCTGGAGTTTCGTAGCGAAAGCCAATGAAAAATCTTTAGTGCTAGCATGTGACACCAAAACATCTTGCATGAGAAAGGAGGTGGAGGCGGTAACCGCAGCTCTCTGGTGGCTAGAGAACAAGATGCATACACATGTCGTAATTGTAACAGACTTTGAAAGCATGCTGAAAAAGGTGAGGACAGGGATGATTTGAGCAGAATGGAAATTTCACGTGTAATGAGCATACTTTGGATCTTTTCTTCAGGCTATGCCGGCGTGGTGGGTAATGAACAGGCAGACAGATTGGCTGGATCTGTACCATTGGGTGATGAATTGATACATGACAAGGCAGATGTGGTCAAGGCCCTTTGGGAACAAGCAAGATTATAATATGCCGGCGTGGTGGGTAATGAACAGGCAGACAGATTGGCTGGATCTGTACCATTGGGTGATGAATTGATACATGACAAGGCAGATGTGGTCAAGGCCCTTTGGGAACAAGCAAGATTATAATGGCCTGGAGAGAATGAGGCACCTGGGTGTAACGAGAGGGTCTGGCCGGCTGACTACACTCAGAGGAAAGGCAAGATGGACATTTAACCAGACTGTGACCGGTACCATCAGTATTGGAACTCTAAGCTGGCTACTGAAGATGAGGACGGAGCATGCATGGGAATGCCCTGAGTGCTGTGATGACAATTCGTGACTCAACTCAACTCCAGTGAGTTATTCTGCAAATCTTGAATTATTCCAGTAACTGAAGTGCTGCAAACAATTAAGTAATAAATGAATTATAATTTCTCAAACACTCGTGAAAACACATAGTTTGTCATTGTTAATAAGGGGACAATAAGACAGTCAGACACTGGTTTGTTAAAACTATGAAATGAAAATAACGCTTCAACTGGACGACATACCTTTGTGGAATCCCGTTTGAGGCTCTGCATTAAGATGTGAAGGTGTACAAATACTTTCCTAGTGGAAAATACATTTTGAAAAATATTAATGTTTTAAACTTTTTTTTGAGAGTCTTTTTTGTAAGAAACAAGAGGTTAGTACTCAATAATAGGTTCACTAATTAAAACTACTTTATACGCTGAACAATTTTGACTGAAGCTAAAAAACAAATGACACAACTTATCCTTAAAGCAATATCAGGCAACCACAGGTTTGCGTGTTTTCTTCTTCTGTCAATATCTGCTTATGGCACTAGGCGTCACAGTTCATCAGATGATCGGCACCCGAGCCAGGGCACGCTCAACGCTTGATATGCTATGATATTATGTAGTCTCAAGGTGTCAGTTACTCCTTCAATCCATCTTCTTCTTGGTCTTCCACTGCCTCTGGTTGTTTCGATTTTCAGGTTGTATGCTCTTTCTGCTGGTATAGTTGGTTTCATTCTCATTAGATGGCCAAACCATTTCATTTTCTGTTTCTCAATAAATTTGATGATGGATATTTTCCCAACAGTTCTTGTGGTCACGTCGTTTCTCACTCGATCTATTCTAGTTTTATTCACAGCCATTCTCAAACATCTCAACACACAGATGGTTATTTTTCTTGCGTGTTTTTTTTTGTTTTTGTCAATACCCAAGTCTGAAGTCAGTATAAATACTGTATTTATAATTTGTCTTGTTGTCTCTACTGGAATAGCAGGGTGTTTCAAAATTGGAGAAAGTTGGTACGTGACATTATTGGCTTGCCGTATTCTTGTTTCTATCTTCTATTTCACCGTTGTATGTAAAGATGCAAAAGCACGGTGAAGATCAAAAACTGCTTTTGAATTAAAAGAAAACAAAAATAATGTGAACAGATAAAAACTGACTGTCACCCAAAAATAACAATAAATGACAAAGAAATTGAAAATGTCACAAACTTTGAATATCTAGGCTCTATAATAAATAACAATGGAGTCTGTTTGAGAGAAATTAAAAAGAGGATGGCCATAGTCTTCTTCTTCTTCTTCTTTTGTTCGCCTGAAATAAGTTGTCTATATCAGCAATTTTGTCTCTTGTATAAATTTCACGGTTGTTGTTACTTCATTCAGTGGTCCATAGAGTTTACGTTCCACTGTTGTTATTTCTGGCCAAAAGGTTTGCCTTAATGTGTCAAATTTGGTGCAGTTTTGGAGTACATGCTCTGCTGTCTGGGGCACCTTTCCACAGGTGCACATGGTTGATACGCCTATCTTGAATTTTGTGTACATGTGGTTATGTAATTGGTTGTGCCCTGTTCTGAGGCGGAGGATAATGACTTGCTCTGATCTGTCCATAATAAAATAGTCGTCTTGTGCTGGGTCTGGTGGTTTCCTGATTGATTTAATGTTTCTTTTCTTTTGGTGGTATGTGACTGGTACATTTGGCTGCACTTTTGTCGCTCATTCTCCTGCCAGTTGATCAGCTTTCTCATTTCCAAGTACTCCACAATCTGATGGTATCCACTGCATTACAACTCTTTGCTGAAGGCTAAGTTGTGTCAACAGTGTTTGCAATTCTGGTAGTTTCCTAGACTGGAGTGCTTCAAGTACTGATGGCCATAGTAAAGCAAAGATTAAACAGCCCTAAAGGTCTATGGTTAAGCACCAGCAAGAAGATCACAATAATAATTTTGAGCATACATCTTTCCTGTAGCAACATACAGATGTGAATGGTGATCTCCCAGTCCTTAAGAAAGTGAATAGGGGCTTTTGAGCTGAAATGCTATGGAAAGATTCTCAGAATATCTTGGAAAAAGAAGAGGAGAAATACTGACATCTTGAAAGATCTGAACATCAAGGAAGATTGGCTAATAAACTGTATCCTGTTTGGGAAACTGAAATATTTTGGTCATATCAAGCACCACGACGGATTGGAAAAAATTATAGCAGAAGGCATGGTAACAGAAAGGAGGGGCAGGTGCCAGGCCATTGTCTTGACATCGACCCTGCTGCTACGAGTAACGAAGATAAGTGATACTGTGTATTTGTGTAGTATTGTCTATTCTATGTGTGTGCTGAAGAAGGCTCCATAGTTGCAACATTTATGTTTTGTTTGTGTTTGTTTTATGGTGAAGCTCGCTGATATACTTTTAGTTCAGTTTTATATCTTAACTGGTCACACAGCATTAAAATTTATAGAGTTATTAGATGGCATTTTTGCTAATGGCATAATCTCTCATGGAATTAGGCTTCTACGATGGCTGATCTTACTTTCCTGGATTTCTACCTCTGGGGTACACTTAAAAGAAAAATGTACGAAAACAATCTACAAATAATCAATGAACTTCAGGTTTCTATTGTCAACAACATTAATAACATTACACTACTCAAACTGCACAAGGTCTTTGACAACAAGAAAAAATGTATCCATAATTGCCAAATGAAATGTGAATATTTTCAACACCTATTGTGAACACAGCTGTCATGTGGAAAACAGTACCCAAAATAAGACACGTTATAGCAGTATATGTTGCATTAACTCCATATATTGTGATTACAAAAACAGGAATAGCAATATTTTAAACAAATACAGTCATTTAACTTACACGCTGTACATCTTAAATAATTGTCAGTATCTTGTTTAGACCAAGAACAAGATGGAAAGAAAACATCAGAGAAGCTCTGCAACAACACGATGTGTCTCTGGTCAAGGAGGCCAGACAAGCAAAAAGCAGAGCTTTCTATCTCCCTCGGCACCTAAAGCAGTAAAAGAGGTAGTCAAGAAAGAAAGAAGAAGAAGATCCTTGTTAATCTCATGATCCTCATTCTAAAATCTTTGACATCTTGCATCATCATGTAACAGGTTATGTGATTGTAACAACTCTCATTTCAATCCACCATAAAGACCTTTGATCTTTAATCCAATTCTTTGTTTAATTTGTCTGTGTTCATCTTTATACTGGCTGACCAATGCCTCTTCCAGGAACTATGACTTCCCTTACTATTCTCGCTAAACCAGTTGAATGTTTAATAAGGCTGAAGTATATTAACCTGTAAGACCTTGTGCTGTGTTTTCAAGCCTTATGGTACAGCTATGCAGTAAAATGTGATAACTCTATGTGTCTACCTACAAAACAGATCTGCCTTATTAAATATAGTTCTTGTTCAGTGTTATCACAATAAAAAGATGAGAATCGTTATGCTGTTTCATTACATTACCTTTCTTCTCTGTCTGGTGCCTTCATGATGATTGGAACTTGCTTGCTGAAAACAGTCTCCATGTTTGTATGTTGAAACTGCATCATGTTAACTTGAAAAGTCTTCATGCAGAGTGGTGTTCACACTGTCACACTGTGAGCTTTAAACATATCTGTTTAGGACACACAGAATTCAAATAGATACTTCAAAAGCTGAGTACACAAGCAATTTAAACTTCATTTAAACAGTAACTAAAGTTAAATATGGTTAACAGCAAGGACTGTGAAAATGTAGGATACTTTGGTAAAATAACTAATTACAATGGCTATTGTATGATCAACGCAAAATGATACAATTGCTATCTAAATGAACAAGACACAATTTTCTTTAATCAGAACTATACATACATAAGTTCAACTTATTCTAGCATGATGATGGAGACAGCAGCTCTCACAGGAACATTTGCATGGCTGGCAGAATATAAAGCAACTCACACATTGATAGTGACAGACTCAATGAGCATACTTAACTCTTTGAGTCCCAGAAACGCATCACGCGCTAATTGGTTACTACCTGACAGCCCAATTGATGCGTAACAAGTGAAGGTTTTTAATTTACCACTTATTGGTAATTACACGTGAACCGCTCAATTTAAACTTCCTTTCCGGTTCTCAGGTGTGTAGTGAATACAGGTGTGTGCATTCGTTTGGGTCTGGTGAGTTTATAACGCTCTAAATCTATTTTTTTGTTATCTACTACGTTATCAAACAAATGTCTGAAAACAATATGTTCAATCATTCATCGTCTTCACGCCCAGCAAAGCGATTTACCACTTCAGAAGCATCAAATTTAATAAAACAGTGGATCGATCAAAGTGATGTGAAGTTGGATAATGATAACAGTGACGTGGAATTTCACCAACCCGTTGATGGGTCAAGTTTTGATGGGGAATGTGTGCGTAATTTGCCTCCTGCTAAGAGGACAAAACTGACTAATTCTGACATGGCAACACAAGAAAAAAATGATGCTGAAGCACCCCGTAACGTGACATTAGCTAGTCCAAATGTCAGTGCTTCTAGTACTACTAGTAGTACACGCCGGAATGATAGTCATGGTCAGTGGAGAGGTGTTACTGAGGGAAGAACACGATCAAGGTTTCTTTTCAAGCCTCCATGTCCAGCTGGTGTGACAGAACACTGGAGAATATATTTTGTTGTGTTACAGTAGTGTTATTAAAATTTCTATTGAACAACAAATAATGCCCATTTTGCTTTAATATTGGCTTGCATACTTATAACTGGTGTACCTTCCTTTTTGATGCATTTTGGATATACTATATCAAGAATTTTTTGATCAGCTTTTGGGTAAGTGGAAAAAAACTTGTTCATAATTTACTAACATCTTAAACTAAGCTACTGGTTTTTTTTTTTACTAAATTCTAACTAACGGTATAATTGTTTGTTGTAGCTGTATGCTAATATTAATCCTTATCCATTTATATAACTTTTAATAATATGTGTATGTTGCACATCCGCTGCAGTTGTGTGGTTTATTTTAAAGTGCTGCACTTGTACAAAGTCAAAATCATATTACCCCCCCCCCCCCCCTTTTCCCCCTTGGGCCTCTGATGCAAAACATTCTGGGACTCAAAGAGTTAAGAAGATCCAAGCCCACAAACTCCAACTAGAATGGGTTGAGAGCATCCCAAATTCCCACCTCAAGAAACTATATTGGCTGTACACACTGGAATACATAGGAGTAAAAGGAAATGAAAGAGCTAACAGACTGACCATGTCTGCAGTTGTTGGTGGAGGAAGAAGTATGGACAGGTCAGACATACTTTATGCGCTGCGTTCTAGAAACTTTGAGACAAAGGAGTCAGAGATGATGGACCGCCTGTTGGAAATGGGCATTAAATGAGCACAGGCATATAGACACTAGTGGTGGGTTAAGGAAAAAAGACATGCCAATCAACTCCTAATGGGTACACAGAGCATGAAGACACTGAGTTGGCTGCTGCATTGGAGGACAGAGCATGAATGGGTCGGACCGATGTGCTAGGATGTTGATATGGACAAGAAGCAACATGTAAGTACACATATTTAAATCTAAATGAATATACACACAATGTGAAACCAGGAAACTAGTCCTTTAAGCACAGAAGAAATCACCTGTGACTTTTATGTATATTCATGGCACTTGAGCCCTCTGATGTGAATCTAGTGACGTTTTGAGATGAACCAGGGCGCAATGCTATAAAATTTCAGGCCTGAGTTATAGAAACCTAAACAAATCATCCAAGCAGGGGACAAAACTGAAGGTATAGTCCACTTGCAAAATTACTCATAGGAAAAATAATATATAACACATCCCAGGAGGAAAAATCTAATCTTTGTGAGGACTAACAAATGCTTAGTGAATCAGAAAGCTGTTGATACTTGGAGTTTAAATCACCAAAGTACTCAAGACCAAAGGTCATATACAAATATTCCCTTTATAGCTAGACAGTGATACTCCCAATACACATATACAAACTTATTTAGAATCAGGAGTTGCTGATGCTAATTGCTGCATGGCCTATTTCTTATTGTAACACTGGTCACTGCAACTAGTAACTAGGGCTCTCAGTTTTGGGTTCGCAAAAGATTAAATCTGGCATGTTGTAAGTCGCTGCTTAGGGGAAAGGTTAGGCACGGGGTTGGCTACCTTATCCACAATAGTAAATCATCATCATCATCAGTTCTCGTTATGCCTAGTGGCACATGAGGCTTCAGAGAGGACTTTCCATGCTTTCCTGTCCTGTGCAATCTTCATTGCAGTTTTCCATGTCAAAGATGCAGCACTCAGGTCACTTTCCATCGTTCGTCTCCATGTTGTTTTTTGGCGCCCCTGTTTTCTCTTTCCCTCTGGTGTCCATGTGAGAGCTGTTTTGGCAGGTATATCAGAATTCATTCTCATAACGTGGCCAAGCCATTTCCATCTTCTCTTGGTAATCATACTGTCTAGTTTATTGGTTTATGGCTTGAAGTAGTTTAGTGTTTGAGATTGTATCTGGCCAGAAAATTTTGATAATTCTACGTAGACATGTGTGGTGGAAGGTGGACAGCTTGTGTGCATCCTTTTTGGTCATTCTCCAGCATTCCGCTCCATAAAGAAGAACTGGCAAAATGATGCTCTTGTAGAGTCGGAGTTTCGTTCCTCTGCAGTAATTGTTGGATTTCCAGATTTGCCTCATCCTTCCAAAAGCAGCTCTAGCTTTGTTCAGACGTGACTGTAGGTCTTCCTCTGTCCCTCCCAGTAGGGACACCACACTGCCAAGATATGTGAAATGTTCTACATTTTCAAGTGATTGGTTACTTATGGTAACTGGTTGTTGGTTTGGACTGTTTGTCATGATCTTAGTTTTCTTTGTATTTATTCTCAGTCCTACCATTTCTGCTGTGCAGTTTAGTCTGATACTTTTCTCTTGTATATGTTCATGTTTATGTGACAGGAGTGCTATATCATCTGCAAAATCAAGGTCCTCAAGCATGGTGAATGGAGTCCATCGTATGCCTCTTAATGTCCTGTCTACTGTGTTCTTTAGTATCCAATCAATCACAAGGTTGAAGAGGAGAGATGACATAACACATCCCTGTCTTACACCCGTCTTTACTGGGAAAGATGTATTGTAATTTTTTATACTGCAGGAAAAGTCTTTATAGAAGAGAGCAATTATGTTGACTATTATTTCTGGAATTCCATAATGTCGTAAAATTTTCCACAGACCGTCTCTATGGACGCTGTCAAAAGCTTTCTCATAGTCCACAAAATTAATATATATACTTCTCTGCCATTCGTTGCATTGTTCTAAAATGTTACGTATGGCGACGATGTGCTCAGTTGTTCCTCTGCCCTTTCTGAATCCTGCTTGTTCCACTCGTAGGCATTTATCTACTCCTTTTTCAAGCCGCATTATAATGATTTTACAAAATATTTTGCTTGGTACTGAGAGTAGAGTAATTCCCCTCCAATTATTGCAGTCTGTTAAGTCTCCTTTTTTGGGGATTTTGACTATTGTTCCTTCAGTCGTCAGGCAACACTTCTTCACTTCTTTTTCCCAAATATCCTTGAACAATGGTTCTAGAATGCTAGCAGTTGTGTTGGGATCTACTTTGAGAAGTTCTGCTGGCAGTTCGTCTTTGCCTGGTGCTTTGTTGTTCTTTAAAGTGTGGATAGCTTTAAGGATTTCTTGTTTTCTTGGTGGTTCAGTAATAATGCCAATGTCCTGAGAGGCTGGTTGAATATCTGGGGGATTTTCACGATCAGGTCTGTCCGCAAGTGCCGAGGTTAACTAGGTAACTACACTCTACAGTACTATCATCTTCTAGCTTGTTACGCATCACTCTTACTCTTATTATTATTAAATATATTACAATCGAATGTTCGGTCAGCCCCTCCCAAATCACATTTCATAACACACAAGTGCATGGCAAAGTTATGCCCCGACCTGAATAGCTTACCAGTACCACTGCACAATACAAGAATCCCACAGAAATCAAACTATAAACATGATTCGGTATCGCAGTGTCAACATCCGCTTCCGGAAATATTTTAGAGCATAACGATAGAAGTACGACTCATAATTCCGACCCAGTAAGGGATCCTTCCATCCATTAGAGAAAAACCAAACCATAAATCGACCACATTTAACCTGCGAGCAGTACTGGTTATAACTGGTGTCTGCTTTATTTGAGCCATTAATATTGGCCAAGAAACATTTGTACCAAAACTAGTGGCTTGCAGCGGTTCTCTAGAATCTAGTTGTTTAAGTTTAGCGTTGTTAGGGAGAGGGCTGGTGTGCACCATACACACCCACACACATATATAGACATACATGTACAATTACACACACACACACACACATATATATATATATATATATATATATATATATATATATATATATATATATATATATCGGGTGGGAAGTAAGGGGGTTGTTATTATTTTGGATCAAAAGAACTCAAAAACTGTGAAAGGATTTTGGACAATATCAGATAGAGTACTATTAGTAAAACTTTGCGGCAGACCGTTTGACATCAACTTAGTACAGATTTATGCCCCAACGGCAGATAGTTCAGAGGAA